TTTTTCTATAGCTAGTGAATTTTTCTTTTAGGCTTTCTGATCGGAATAGTAATTTTCCTAACAAGTGCGGAAAGTAATCCTTTCCCGCACGCGACTGCCGTTGACACGAACGACGCGAAGCGGAGTTCTGGCAAGCAGTCGAGTGCGGGAAAGACACTTTCCGCATGAGTTAGGAACAATATTTTTTCTACAAGCGTAGGAAATTGATTGATTTGTTCAATTAATTATTCATTCATATAGAAACAACTAACAAGAGAAATATATTCTCTATCTACTGATTATTAGTAATAGCTATTGTGAACTTACAGTTTGACGCATTATGTATAGGTTCATTGCGGAAGCCAGCAGGCCCATAGGAAATGAGCCAAAAATACACCTTCTTTATTAGGTATTTTCATTTCTTTATTGTTGCACCATTCAATAAAACGCGTGTATAATAGCTTCTCATACCTTTCTTAAAACTTCGTTGGCAATAACGCATCTGTATTGCACCCCTATAGCTGGAAGTTTTTGATCACATTGTGGCAATTCCACTGAATCGAAAATGACAGTAACGCTGTGTCTGTCACTTCGACAATTACAAACTCATTTGAGGTTTGATTGGCATGACAACAATAATCGTTTCCCATCAGATCAATCCAAAACTATTGGGGGATTTTTATAATGATCAATTTTTATTTTTCAATATTTCTTATTTTATGTTCTTAACTTGATGGATGATTCGGAACATACATACTTGATACTGCAACAAACAAACTCAAACTCTCATATTCCATTACCATTATTCCATATCATCATATCTTTTAAACGCAGTGACATTTTGGGGCAAATCATCTGATTTGTCCTTACTACACGTATACAGGGTGTTAACAAATAAGTGTCACAACGGAAAACTGTACATTCCTCATGAGAAAAGAAACATTTTTTCACTTTCGAAATTTTTCTCCGGGCTTCCGTTTTCAAGTTACAGGGCGTCAAAATAAAACAAAAAAATCTGTTTTTGCTACTATCTTAGGAACCGTTTGAGCTACGGAGTAAAACCTTCGTACACTCTTCATCATCAATAATGACTACTTTTAGGGCTCTTGATCAATTTCCTTGGACATGCCAGTGGAGGAGAATTCAACGCCTCGTAAGTGTTTAACCCCCCAAACATTTATGCCACTGGAGAAATTGTAATTTTCAGAGTAGATTCTGAAGCGCCAATATCTTTCACACGAAAAACGTCCTCTTGTCTCTGTGCTCTGAAGTGAATAGTTTCTGCGAAAAATGGCTCTTTATGAATAATTTACAAAATCCTGATGGTATCTCCAAAAATCGTCTAAAAATCCACTGGAAATGAACACCTCAGAACTGTCTAAGAGTATGTTCAATCAAATGTCAGGTTCTTGAGTATGCTGGTCTCGTAGCTGGTTTTCAAGTTTACTAAGCGTTGTAAAGTGTGTTTAATTGAACTGAAAATTTTTGATTTTTCGACGCCCTGTATCTTGAAAACGGAAGCCTGGAGAAAATTTTTGAAGAGGAAAGAATTATTTTTTTTATTATGAGGAATCTACAGTTTTCCGTTGTGATACTTATTTGTTAACACCCTGTATATTGAAATAGTATTGATATTTTTATTTTATAGAGACGAGGAGAGAAAATCCCAAATAATCTGGAATAATGAATGTACCACCTCCTCGATTATCCTACAGACAGTATTGAACCCCTTGATTGGGAAAGTATTGAATATTCCTTTTCAATAGTTTCTCTTTTCACCGACTCATTCAGAGTCCACATGAAAAATGACAGAATATCACCCTTTTTTTTTTTCATATGGATTTCGCGATATACCGGTGTCCAGAGCTTTTAGACCAGTAGATATCAGGGTTATCTAACATCCAAAAAACTGTGGAATTCATGGGAGCATAAGCTCTCCAAAATAGTGAGATCAAAATTTTCCTCTACATCACGATCAATACAGTATTATATTAAAAATCATAAAGGAGTAAACTATTCTGCAGGCTTGTTGAACTGTTTACATCCAGTTATTTCTTGAAAAATCAGAGCTACACACGAAGTCTGAATAGGCGATATATAAGGCAAGAATAGCAAGTGATAACAACAGTCATTTCAAACAATCATTTAAGGAATACTCGATATTTTTTCAAAATAATTATTGAAATTAATCGAAATTTCCGAGGATGAAAAGTAGGTATCTATTCCGATATATCATTGAATTGGGAATGGAAAAATGGGGGTGAAAAACCAAACTTTGGGGTAATTACTAATAGGTTGTTTGACATGAGAGTGATTTGATTTCATCATTTTGAGATCTTTCGCTCTCATAATTTTTTTATTATTTTAGATAACAGATATATTATGTGCTGCACTTAAAGCTCTGGGACACCCGGTATATTATTCACACTGTCTTTATAGGAAATGAACATTTTTGAAAACCTAATTCAAGCTAGAGTTAACATATTTCCGAAACACATCCGAAAATACATTATGGGCATAATGTTTGATGTGTGAGGGATCAGAAGACATTCTTCAGTCTATATTTTTTAGAATTTTTTGCAATAAAACCATACTTCAAACTATAATATTTATTCTTTGGAAGAAGTCCATGGTATCTCAAAGTGAAGTGACTTTGGGTTTTCATCTATGTATAATATTTATATATATTTAGGTGAAAGACGTATATATATAATATATGGTTAAAATAAGAGAAGATTATTGAACATAGCTCTCAGGAAGAGTTAACCGTAGACACGTGTTTCGGGCTTTAGGCCCTCATCAGTACGGTGAAAGAAGTGAAAGAGGTAGGCAACACAACACAACAATATTCCTTTCATCATAGAGATCGGGATATTGAGTTTGGATTTGTGTGAAGCTCATCTGGATTCATTGCCCTTCTACCAATTAAGAAGGAAAATTTCTCAAACTTAATTAAGAGCAATAAGTAAGTATATGTATCGGTTTAATCACAATACACTCCTCCAGTGTGCATTCGACAGTTGTCAACACGACTAAATTTCAAGTGTGCATTTAATTCGTAAACAATAAAATTATTCGATGAAATATAGAAGTCGGTCTAATAGGCAAATAATACAGATTCAATTCAGAACAAATTTGCTTAGTGAATGAAAAATTATTGAAGAAGCTCAGGGACCTTTGCAATGCCAAGTGAGTATTTATTATAATTCATGAATAGTTTTTGTGGATCAAGAACTAAAATACAAACTCGATCTAATGTATTTATGGCCTGTACTTATGGATCGTATTTTTTTTTTCAATTCTTTTTCAATTCGACTGAAAATCAATTTTCACTAGGTCTTGATACAAAAATCAAATTGATATTTCTGAATGGTACACTTCAACACCCTGTATATAATGTGTATATTTTGATTTTTTTCAAATATATTCTTTCTGGATTCAAGAAGGAAAGATAGAAAATCATTCATATTTCTTATTATGCTACTACCATGAAGATACGACATCGCGATATTCCGTAAACCGTTGAGTGAAAATAGATCGCTTCAAAAATTGATGGTTTTGACCACTATCATCCATTCATTCTGAAACGGATTTCAAAGTTTATTGCTTTATTCAACACATGACAGTTATGACTGTCATTATTAATGTTATTTTTGACAAGAAAACTATCAAATAACATACTAGTGTGTTATAATCCATAACTCACTAGTGAGTTATGGATTATAACTCACGTTCATATTTAAAGTAGTATTCCATTTATTTATTACTATTACAAGCAGGATTCACATTGATATTGAAATTAAGGGAATTTGCTAACGGTCTATTCGAATTTGAAGTAATTCTAAAATTCGTTGGTTCATTGGAACCAGATGCTCCCATATCGGCACAGCTGCTGATAGTGCTGGAAGACGCCGACACCTTGAATTTTTTCTGCAATTTGTATTTTGTTATGCACCGTTTTTTCTAGATATCCTTCTGCTTCCATCCTTCATGACGCTTCAAAATTGTCACGTTAGCCCCTGCATTGGCAAAAAGATTCGCCGAAGACCTTCTCAGGCAGTGACCGGTGTAGAGCGCTGGTTCCTACAAGCTCACCCATTTTTGTAAAAAACAAAAAAGCGGCTAGATCTAGTATTCTTAGGTCTCAAAGACCTGTATTTTTTAAACAAATTGATCGGATTGACTGGAAATCCTTCTTCAAGTATGGTGAAACTCCTCGATTTCTTGGTTTTTGTGTCTGGCAAAACTACGTGAGAATATTTCCCTTTGTCTTGAATATTTTCTATTTTCAAATTGACCAATGCATCGCATCTACAAGCACCGCTAATCCCCATTATCAAAGCCACTTTCATCAACAAGTACTCGTCATCGGGAGCTTCGTTCAAAAACTTCTCTATTTCAAGTCGTTCTAATGTCTTGGACTTCTTTGGTTTGTATCCCTGTGATTTGCTTTTCAAAAAGCCATTCGATTTTTTTATAAAGGTGAATAGTCGAGCGAAGCATCGAGTATTTGGTCCATAACGACAATAGGGCTAATTTTTTTTGCAAATGTAAAAAATATGCCAATTGAACGTTTTCATCGATACCTTTTATCTTCCGTGAATTCATCCAAGACTCAAAAATTTTGAACTCCTTGTCGTAAGTACCTCAGGACTTTTCTGGCAAAATCTGCATCGCTGCTTCTTCTGCTTCCGTAAGGATATTCTCAAGAACGTAATTTTCATGGGTTTCCTCCATTTTTTTAACGCCTCGACACGTGTTTCGCTAACTATGTTAGCATCTTCAGGAGAAGTTTAAAACTAAATATCCTATTCTAGTGTGCTGCTTATATACTAAGTATATGTTCACCCAACCGTGAAAAATATTAACCGTCAAGTTAATGTTTGTCATGGTTGTCTAGAGGATTCTGTACTGTTTAGATAAGATTGTTCAATTGAATAGTTTCCAAATACATACTTTTTTTCAGGAACATCTTTCGGATAAGAATAACTAATTTTGATTGTTGATATATCGTTTACAAGATGAGAGGTTGTATGAAGGGAAGAAACCAGCTTTCAAGACTGATGGTCACAGCTATAATTCTGATGGTTTTTATTCAGTTTGCTGCAGCCACAGATACTCTAGAAGGTATGTAGGTAGGAAGATCCAGAAGTTTCCTGCTTATCGAAATCAAATATTACGTCTTTTTTACAGTGTCTAAATATTAAAAGAATCATTTGCTAAATCATCTTAAAACGCACTCTTCCAATAAATTATGAAGAGAACTGAGAGAAGTTCAATTAAATTCAGTACAATACAACAGTGATTGTTATTCGTAGCTTCAGAATCATTCCTATATTAATTTGCTGAATCAATTAACAAGCACTCTTCGAATGAAGAGAGGTTCAATAGTATTCAGTATAATACAAATGTGAATGTTAGTTTATTGAAAACATTAATTTTCTAATGAATCACTGCATTCACAGCTTCAAAATCATTTCAATAGTCATTTGCATATTCATCTAACAAGCACACTTCGAATAACGTTATGAAGAGAGATTTAATAAATTTCAGCATTATACAACTGTACTAGAAAACACCAGTTTTTCAATCAATCACAGCAATGTTACGAAGAGATAAATCTTCTAATCAATAAGGCATTCATAGCTTCAGAATCATTTCAATAGTCATTTGCAGAATCATTCAACAAGTATCTCAGAATACGTTATGGAGAGAGGATCAATAATTCAGTATTATGCAACTGTCATTGTTAATTCCTTGGAAACATAAGTTTTTCAAATCAATCACAGCATTCATAGCTTCAAAATGATTTCAGACAGTTGCATAGAAAATCCGTCTGGCAAAAACACCTTCTCCTGGGAAGACTACCTTGTTCTTGGAGCAATGTTGGTGATATCCTGTGGAATAGGAGTGTTCTACGGATGCTTCGATAAAAACCAAAACAGTGAAGATTTTCTACTGGGCGGAAGCACGATGGGCACTTTTCCCATGGCCATGTCTTTAGCGGCAAGGTAAGAAAATAATTATTTATTTAATTTTTTATTTCTATTTATTTCAGTTATTGCGTTACATTTCTCTTCTCTTCTGATCATTCCCTTGTATCAGAATACAGGGTGATTCATTTAGAATGGGAAATCTCTGAACTACCGATAGTAAACACAAAAATAATGAGATTTAGCCCAATATGCCTGATGAGAATGTTGCTGGTTTAGGAGATATTGGGTGTTTTAGGGGGAGATTTTAACAGCATGAACATGAAATCTTGTATTTCTTGGTTTTCTGACATGAGGAATATGAATTTGCAACTTATTTTGTGATTTCCCATCATATATTCTATGTCAATTCATTGATGATCAAAATAAAATCTGAAAACTCGTTCAATTTCACATGAAAAATGTACTCTTTATCAAACTGTCTAGCTTCAACGATATTTGTGTTATTCGCTCTTGGAGAGATTCATTATCCACTTATGACATTTTAATAATAATTCTACTTATTACATTAAGAATGGGAAATCTCTGAACTACAGATAGTAAACACCTAAATATGAAGATTGCCTGATAAATATATTGCTGGTTTAAGAGATACAGGGTGGTTGAGGAGAAGATACTTTGAAATAAATCTGTGTTCATTTTAGTTTCGTTACTGCAGTGGAACTTTTGGGCAATCCAGCCGAAATGTATACCCACGGATCGCAATTCTGGATGATTTGCTTGGCTTTCATCTTGGTAGTACCGATGACATCGAAGTTTTATTTACCGGTATTCATGAAACTGAGATTGACCAGCTCCTACGAATATTTATCTTTGAGGTTTTGCCAGAAAACAAGGTATCTGGCGAGCGGAGTGTACATTCTGCAAATGGTTTTATACACTAGTGTTGCCGTGTATGCACCAGCCCTAGCTCTAAGTAAAGGTAATTATTGAGTATTAAACTGGCAACATTAATTTATTGATTTCATGTTATTTGCTCAACACAACCGCAATTGGAACATAGTACTTCTTGTAAGAACATAATGTGTCCCACTTGAATGTGTGCCCCCCTTTTTCCTTGTGATTCTCAACATATTTTGTTCATTCAACTTTTCTGGAATAATTTTTTACGGATTTTTTGAATCTGTGCTTACTCCTTCTTCATATCAACATATTACAAGGTGGCTCAGATGAACTTTTTTTTTCATGAAATGATTCATATTGTTTTCCAAAGAAAAATGCTATTTCTCAATATAAATGATCAGATGTTCATTTCATTATAAAGAGGAAGGTATGCCGTTAATAGTGGAAAATAACATCAGTCAAATGACAACCACGACCACGCCTACAGGACCATATTCTTTTCATGAAATTCTCCAAAACCAAATCGCAGTGGCTTCCCTATGTCCTCGATGTGCTGGATAGCCTCAAGAATTCCATTTTCGAGGTCTTGAATCGACGCTGGGCTTTTGACGTAGACCTTCTCTTTCACGTGGCCTCAAAGGAAGAAAGGTGTTAAATCACAAGATCTCGGTGATCTCCTCTTCGAGAGATAACATGGTCCGGAAACTTTTCCAATGAAAAGATCAATGGTTTCATTGCTTGTGTGGCAGGTAGCGCCGTCTTGTTGAAAGTAAACGTTGTCCAGATCAATACCAACCAATTCCGGCCATAAAAAATCATTAATCATCTCTCGATAGCGCAATCCATTCACCGTAACTGTTTCTCCAGCCTCATTTTCGAAAAAGTAAGGTCCAATGACTCCACCGGACCACAAACCGCAGCAAACACGTTGAGGATAGAGAGGCGTTTCAACAATAACTCTTGGGTTTTCCGAGCCCCAGATGCGACAATTTTGTGGAAATGGGCCTCATCACTCAAATGATTTTTCGTTGGAATTCCGGATCATTTTCTTGCATTTCAAGGACCCAATCAGCAAAGACACGGCGTTGTTGATAATCGGCCGGCTTGAGTTCTTGTGTCAACTGAAGTTTATAAGCCTTTAGACCCAAATATTTATGCAAATACGTTGTAATGACGTTTGTGGAACGCCTAATTCCAAAAAGAACGACGAGGAATTGAAAAAACTGGATTTTCTGCAACACTTTCGGCTACAGCAGCAATATTCTCGGCTGTTCTTGAGCGACGTGCACGGGTTTTATTCTTCACGTCACCAAGTTGTCCCAACAGCTCGAATGTTTCCACCAATTTCTGTATTGCGGTCCCACAAGGTGCTTCACGACGACGAACCGTCTCTGCCAAATTTTCAAGATTTTTGTGGTGGATTTTAATAATTTCGATGCGTTGTTGGTACGTGTATCGTTCCATTTTTTATTATTGGCGTAGTTTCCACTGTCAATAAAAAACAGCTTCAAAAGTGACATCTACCGAAATAGCGGGCAAAATAACACCTCTTATTGGAAAACCCTTTATCATTAATATATTATTATCGAATAAAATTTAGATCATTTCATTTGAAAAACCTTTTTTTTTTTTTTCGTTTGTTGATATGAAGAAAAAGTGAGCACATTGAAAAAAATTCGTACAAAAATTATTCCAGATACGTTTTTGAATGGCGAAAATATGTTGAAATTACGAGGATGAAGGGCCTAAAGGGGGGTGACACATTTAGGTGGGACAGGGTGTACCTACTTTGATTGTAAGATATAAGTACATCGTACATCACCAAAATACGTTCAGTTTTCGAAAACATCCTGTATTGAATATAGTTTTGAAACTTTAGGAAATGTATGAGGGTGGCATGATTCATGTGGCGACTTCACCATTTTTTTAAGGAAAGCGACTCCGGCAAATATTTGTAAATTCCAAGTTGGTGATTATTACCTATTTCAATTCAGAATTTTGGAATATTATCTTCGCATCTCTACATATTTTGACTTATGAGAGACCTAAATAGATTCGAAACGTATTCAAATTAAGACGCACATTGAACATGACTTTGTGTCCTCCATTAATATGGATTTTTGAATTATTTGTACATGACCTTATGAAATTAATTTTTATCTTCTAGTTACTGGACTCAACGTATATCTAGCAGTGACTGCAGTTTATGCTGTTTGCATATTTTACGCTTCTCAGGTGAGTTGAAATATGTCATTAATTTTATTTCCGTATCTGATATCATAACGACGCCATTGTTATTATTTCAAAAAATCTCATCGCTCATGAAATGTCAAATTCCAAGCTCTGTCTAATAGATGAGCTTTACTGTTATCTGTTGCAGCCGTAGAAAAATTATAGTGTATAACTCGCATGGAATGCTAATTTCCTACTCGAATGATTGCAGCATTCGCCTATTCTCGTGGGAAATCACTATCATTTCGTGCTCGTTAAACAATATACTATTTTCTAATTTTTGCATGTGACACTTTTCAAAACTGACGGTATATTTTTGAAACGTCTTACTTTTTGCAACCAGTTGTGTGAAGTGAAATATTACATAACAGGTGAAATTTTCATTCAAACTCCCATTATATTTTATGATGCTTGTTCTAAAATCACTATTGGATAAATCGTTCGTATACAGGGACACGCAACGAAACTTTCTTATTAGAATATGAACTTCCAGATATATAGTTTTATTTTATCTACAACTATTGAGTCATTCATGCATTGCTAATTCGATTTTCAAGATTTAATGACAGACATTGTAATGAATCCAGTAATAAGAGTATAATAGTAACAGTGGGATGACGTACTAATCTGACATCCCATCGTCTTGTCAAATTCAAATAGGTAGGTATTCGTTCTATTAGTATTAAGTAAAGCTGATTATTACAAATTCAACAATACTGGGTTTGATGGGATTTTTTCAAACAAAGATATGGAAAAAAATTGAATTTTATCAAGTATGAACAACTACTATATTTTAGTAATACGACAGGACTGTAATCGAATGGAAACGGAATAATTAGAACTTCAACTTATTAATATATCGTCAGTACTGATACAAACATTTCCTGGCTCTTTTAATAATAATCATTGTAACCCTTTGTATATGGTTGCGATCAATTTGTGCGCATAAATTTGTGATTTTCTCTTTCATTTCTTCTGAATAAATTCACAATTGGGTATAAACTTCTTGTTTCAAGTATAGCCCCTACGAATGAAAAATGAAAATCTGGTGGTGTGAGGTCTGGCGAACGAGCTGGCCAGTTGCCTCCTTTCCCTTTTTTTAGGCCACTATAGAAGCTCTATATTTTCGAACTGTATCAGTGTAATTGTTTTTAGGGAGGGATGAAAGCGGTGATAATTGCCGATACATTCCAGGCCGCCGTACTTTTAGGATCTTTATTCCTGATTTTATTCTTAGGGGACAAATACGTTGGCGGGACCGGCATAATATGGTCCCAAAGTTACAAAACGGATCGGTTAGAAATATTCAAGTAAGGAGTTCAACCATTTGAAAAACATTTGAATAATTGAAAAATATAATCAGTTATGACAGAATTTCGTGGAATTTTGTTTTGAAACGCAAATTCAAGGTGGTGTTTTTTAGTTTCAATCCTGATATGACTGTTCGACACAGTTTTTGGTCAGTTCTGATTGGAGGCACGTTCTATTGGATGACGATGTTTTGTTCGAATCAGGCATCAATACAAAAATACTTGTCAGTTGAAGCTATTGGACAAGTCAGAAGGTAAAATGATAATATTGAAAGATGAAGTTGATATACAGGGTGGGTCAGTTTTTTGTAGCAGGACTTCAACAGCTGAAAAAAGGTACAATTTCAAGACGAAAAGCTCATACATATGCGATATACAGGTGGTGTGATATTTTCATATTGGTCTTTGTGTTTTTTCGAGAATTGCCACTGAGTTTCATTAACACATCTCATGAAAGCTTTCGATCATTAAAGGTCATCTAGTCAATTATCAAGAAATATCGAGAGGTAGTGTTCCAAAATTGGAGTTTTATCACAAGTTCGTTATATTTTTGACATTTATCTCGAAATCCATATAGTTTGCGAAAAACATATAAAAGAGCATAGAGTATACAAATAAAAGAGATAATCTGAATTCATGTCTCATTGAAAGCAAAGACAGCACGCGAAAAAGTTCTAGATGGTTATATTGGGTACAGCTCTCAAAAGTGTATCATCCTGTAGGTAATCGAAAACGCCTAGTAGCCCTAAACATTCAGTTTAATAGGTGTACCGAATGTCAATTCATTGTTTTGAAAATTGTCGGAGAAAACTTGAGTGTTCTACAAGCTGTTGAAGTCCTGCTTTACGAAAAAATGACCCACCCTGTAGTATAGTAAAACCAGTGACAGTTAACTAACTATGATGATGTGACCCACTTCAAATAGAAACCACTACAGAAAATTCTCTATTCTATTCTCTGAACATTACAGGATATCCCTTTTCGTGGGAACTAGAATGTAAAAAAAAATTGAGATTTGAATATTTGTTTAGTGATAGAAGAGCATCGGAAGTTCTACTAAAAGTTGAACCCCCTATGTAAAATAAAAAAAATTGTTGTTTGAAACGATCCTCACTTTCATTTTGTATAGTTGTTTCATATACAGGGTCATTCGTTTTTCCGGAAAGGACACCAACTCTGATTTTTTAAATGAAACACCTTATATACATGTCGATAGAGCCTTTTTTTTTCTGATTTTAAAAATACCGCAGTTGAACATAGTGAGTTTTGAAATAATGTTTATTTATACCTATTGTTCAAGCTCCTTGGAAATGTCATAATATTGTTTATTATAAAATTAAAATCGTTCAATCTCAATAAGAATAAAATGAATTGACTGTTTGAATGGAAGATGCAGTATTTTGGTAAACTTTTATGGATTCATATTTTTGAAATCAGAAAAGGACGCTCTATCGAAATATCAAAAAATATTTAAAAAATCAGAGTTGATGTCCTTTCCGGAAACACCAACGATCCTGTATATAAACCAACGATCCTGTATATAAACCAACGATCCTGTATCTAAACCAACGATCCTGTATATAAAACAACAACACAAAAAAAGTTTGGGTCGTTTCAAACAACTTTTTCATTTGACATTTTTTCATATCTCTGAAAACAAATGAGTTAAGAGGGGGTTCATTTTTAAGACGCGCACCCTGTACAATATTTCATTAGTTGGGGTATTTAAATGCATGTTGAATGGAAACATTTTTGTCAATTGTTTCGGATAGATTACTTTATCTGAAATCTGGATTCCTTAATACTATTGGGGCCTTTTGATTCCAGTGATGTGCTTGATATTTTTTTCCAATAAATTATCGCTAATATAAGTTTTTGCTATATTTAGTCCTGAAAAACTAAAATATAGAATTTAGAGAGATGGTTCAATTCGAGGTGCGTTAGTATTTTGAGAAATATACAGTTTCATTGTTGAATTTCAATTACCATCATTTTCCTTAGGGCAATATGGACATCTAGTTTTGGACTGATAATAATTTATTCAGTAAACTTTTACACCGGAATGATTATGGTGGCGCACTACAAGGACTGCGACCCTTTACAGAGTGGACAAATTACGGCAGCTGATGAGATTTTACCATACTACATCATCAATGTTATGGGGAACATGAAAGGAGTCACTGGATTTTTCGTTGCAGGAATTTTTGCTGCGAGTTTGGGGTTAGTTGATTATTATTACTTACAATTTGAACTGTTTTGGATTCATTTTTCAAGTGTCTCAAAATTAAAACGAGTTAATTTGTTGAATACCTTGTTTTCTACACCGAATATACAGGGTGATTCAGGTTTTGAGGTACAAACTGAAAAAAGTTTATATAAACATGAATCCAATCTCGGTCAATAGCGGATTTATAGGGGGTCAAAGTTTATTTATTGTTTTCTATTAATTGAAATATCTCACTTTTGAAGATATCAATTCGAAATTTGATATGTATAATACTTTCTAGGAATTCACCATTTTGAGCATTTTGAAATTTTTTAAAACTACAGGGTGATTCGTTTTTGGGGGTATAGGCTCCTTCATCCCCCCCGAAACTTTTTCGTTGTACCCCTCTAACATTTTCCAGTTACCAAATAAGGTAGATCGTTCAATTTAGAGGCTATTTTTGCTTCACAACTTTTTCCGAGTAACGATTCGTTTTCGAGATCAATAAGCATATCCGTTCTAAAACATGTTAATTTTATCTATATTTCTCTCTTGAATTTTATTCTTGGTCAGAATTAGTTAACAATAATGGAATACGCAAGAGAAATAATCACATTCCGCAAGAAGATATTTCCCGACAAGTTGAATGTTATATTATTTTTGAATTGTTTCAAATGATTGAGAAAGATATTGGATGATAAATTTGTATACTACTGGATGGGGCTTTACCAGTGGCTTAACACGAATTTTCCACGTCGTCATTGAATTGGTCGGTTGAAAGTAACCTGACCTTCTTCTACCCTCTGTATTCCCGCTACTGATTTAGATTGGACGTATACTCAAGTAAATTGCAATTTTATAGTATATTTCATCGTATAATAGGCAAAATTAACATGTTGTATAGCACTCTGATATGCTTAAATTTATTTCTAAAACGGTGCATTTCTCGCAACAAATTGAAATGCAGAAAAAGTCTTCAAATTGAACTGGAAGATGTCAGAGGCGTACAACGAAAAAACGTATCACCCTGTGGATTTTCAAAATCTGTGGAAAGTATCCACCACAACGAATTTCAAATAGATAATCTCCAAAAATGAGCGAGATATCTCAATTAATAGAAAAAATGCAATTCAACTTAGACCCCCGCTACTGATCGAGATGGGACACATATTTATACACACTTTTTTGATGAAAATGATGAGATCTATCACCCATTTTAGTTTGTACCTTAAAACCTGAATCACCCTGTATAATATTATTTGTGTTATTTTAGGACAGTAGCGTCTGCCCTCAACAGTCTTGCAGCGGTGACAATGCAGGACTTCCTTGGATCAGCTTGTGGAATTCATATTCCTGATAAAAGAGGTGCTTTCATCGCCAAAATACTGTCAATCGTCTATGGGGCTGTCAGCTTCGGACTGGTGTTTCTAATAGCCCAGTTGGGCAGCGTTATGCAAGTAGCAATAAGTTTCAACGGTATGGCTGGTGGAGTCACTCTGGGACTGTTTTCCTTGGGAATGTTTTTCCCATGGGCAAATGCCAAGGTATTTTTTTGTTTTGAACATGTATATGTCGGCGTCAATTAGTGAAATCCGTCATTCCCTGAAATGCCTAGTCATTTCACGTATTGTCGGCAAACAGCGTAACAGCGTTACTTTCATTTTCAGCCGTTACTCTGTTTGCCGGAGGGTTATTGAGGAAGGAAAATATCCTTTCTGCATATGCATACGAAGGGAATAGTAATTTTCCTAACAAGTGCGGAAAGTGATTCTTTCCCGCACGTGACTGCCGTTGCCACGAACGACGCGAAGCGGAGTTCGGGCAAGCAGTCGAGTGCGGGAAAGAAACTTTCCGCATGAGTTAGGAACAATATTTTTTCTACAAGCGTAGGAAATTGATTGAATCGTTAAATTAATTATTCAAGCAAATAGGAACAACTAACAAGAGATATATATTCTCTATCTATTAATTATTAGTAATAGCTATTGTGAACTTACAGTTTGACGCATTATGTTGGTTCATTGCGGAAGGCAGCAGGCCCATTAGGAGTTTGGTCTCTAGGTTCCAGACACTTCTATGAAATGAGCCAAAAATACCTATTCTTCATTCGGTTTTTTCATTTCTTTATTGTTGCACCATTCTAAAACGCGTGTATAGCTTCTCATACCTTTCTTAAGACTTCGTTGGTGATAACGCATCTGTATCAAATCCCTATAGCTAGAAGTTTTTGATCACATTGTGGCATTTTCACTGAATCGAAAATGACAGTAACGCTGTGTCTGTCACTTCGACAATTTCAAACTTATTTGAGGTTTGATTGGCATGACACATTGACGTTTCCAGTCAGATCAATCCAAATCTATGGGGGGATTTCTATAATAATCAATTTTTATTTCTCCATATTTCTTAATTTTTACAATAAAAAGTGCAATTTGATGGATGATTCTGAACATACATACTTAATACTGCAACAAACAAACTTTAACTTTTATATTCCATCACCAACCACTTACATTACTAGTGATTTTATCATATCTTTGTTTTCCCGCACTGTTGCGGGAAAATGACACTTCCCAAACCAAATTGCGTGCGGGTATTGGGTGAAACACGCACGCTTGTAGAAAATAGTAATTTTCCTAACAAGTGCGGAAAGTGATTCTTTCCCGCACGTGACTGCCGTTGACACGAACGACGCGAAGCGGAGTTCGGGCAAGCAGTCGAGTGCGGGAAAGAAACTTTCCGCATGAGTTAGGAACAATATTTTTTCTACAAGCGTAGAAAATTGATTGAATCGTTCAATTAATTATTCAAGCAAATAGGAACAACTAACAAGAGATATATATTCTCTATCTATTAATTATTAGTAATAGCTATTGTGAACTTACAGTTTGACGCATTATGTTGGTTCATTGCGGAAGCCAGCAGGTCCATTAGGAGTTTGGTCTCTAGGTTCCAGACACTTCTATGAAATGAGCCAAAAATACCTATTCTTCATTCGGTTTTTTCATTTCTTTATTGTTGCACCATTCAATAAAACGCGTGTATAGCTTCTCATACCTTTCTTAAGACTTCGTTGGTGATAACGCATCTGTATCAAATCCCTATAGCTAGAAGTTTTTGATCACATTGTGGCATTTTCACTGAATCGAAAATGACAGTAACGCTGTGTCTGTCACTTCGACAATTTCAAACTTATTTGAGGTTTGATTGGCATGACACATTGACGTTTCCAGTCAGATCAATCCAAATCTATGGGGGGATTTCTATAATAATCAATTTTTATTTCTCCATATTTCTTAATTTTTACAATAAATAGTGCAGTTTGATGGATGATTCTGAACATACATACTCAATACTGCAACAAACAAACTTAAACTTTTAAATTCCATCACCAACCACTTATATTACTAGTGATTTCATCATATCTTTGTTTTCCCGCACTGTTCCGGGAAAATGACAATTCCCAAGCTAAATTGCGTGCGGGTATAGGGTGAATCACGCACGCTTGTAGAAAAACTATTTTTCCTAAACAAAATATAACCAAACTCCGCCTAAATGAACCTTCTTCCTAGAAAGTATATTTTTCAGAAAATTACTTGAGAGAACAGAAGAGACTACTGCTTCTAAACAACCTAAGCTGACTCGGCCTAAACGAAGCTTTCTTCCGTCATTACAGGGAATGCCTGAAACTATTGGGCAAACGGTGTACGAAATTTAGAGTCACGCTGTTTGCCGGCAATACGTGAAATGACTAGGAATTTCAGAGAATGACGGATTCAACTGTTTGACGCTGACATATACATATTAGCCACTTTCCAATTGAAAATTCGTTACCCCTGAAACGAACCGGTAGGTACTAACCAACAAGTATTTTTATTGACATTTTAATGACGGATTTCGCTCAAAATTTGAATTTAAATTTATGATTGTAGTATTTTTATGATGAGAAAACTTGTAGATTACGTGATTTCGGTAGATGTATAGTTATTTATTATACAAGGGAAAAAAGTAGTAGATTTTAGCTCCAGGTTGTGTTGTCTCCCGACGCGTAGCGGAGGGAGACAAAAAACCGTGAGCTAAAATCTAATATTTTTCCCGTGTATAATACACTATTTTTTTCTGTGACAGAAGGAAGGACGAATCAATATTAAGAAGATATCACATTATTTCGAAATCTGAATATTATCGACTTGAAATTTCAAGTTTTTAACAGTAGGGACACCTGCGTTTTATAGACATCTTTATCATTCTTTTGAAGTAATCAAATATCTGATGTCACTTCTGTCAGTTCAATTCTGTGACTTGATTTTAAAAAATTGCGAATTCAGTAGTTGTTTAGTAATATACGAAACCGCGAAGTCGAATGGAAGATAAAAGGACTTGCAGTTCTTTCTCGGAGACGGTATTATTGACTCATTTTTCGGAACTATAGCACAACAAAAGCCATTAACAGAGTATATATATGTGATATATATCCGGGAAAGAAGTACTCACTTTTTTCCCACGGGAAAAAAGTAATTTATGAAAAGTGACATTTTATAACCTGCCAACAGAGATGAAATGCCAAACTTTTTTCCCGTCACAGAAAAAATTATTTTATACTAAATAACCCACAGGAAATGACGCTGAAGCAAATTGAAGTAGAGTATTGGCAATGAAAATTCTGATGATGAGGCTGAAGTGGATATTACCATAAAAAGAAAAAATAATTGAAATCAAAAATATCATAGAATATACTGTGTTGTTGGTGGGCTTTAAGCTTTAAGGTAGTCCTCCGGCTCCAAATAAATTCTATAGTGTACTCCGTTTTCGAAATCATCTAGGTATTTCCCAGTTATCAATGATAAAGAGAAGGTTAATTTAATTGCTGTTCTCTACTAACATCTAAAAAATATTACTACCGTTGTTGACAAAACCAAAAATAATCATTTCAAAAGACAAACATACATCTGACGCGTCTGACAGACACTTTCTCGCTTTGACATATAGGTACCTGAGTATTTTTGAGTTTGATACCCTATGGTAAAAGTTGCTCCTCGAGGGGAAGGAAGTAAGTAGCATTGATCAGTTCGAGTGCTCTAAGTTCTTTGTAATGGTTGATCAGTTCAAGATCTGCTTCGAGTTAGACGGTGCTACTCACTGTGGCAATTATAAAGCGGCTTAACTTTCAAGTCTAGAAACATTCGAGTCCAAGTTGAACAGTTGCACTTTCTGATATAATGGGATGATCTATATAAAAATGCGAAGAATTCCCGAAATTAGAAAAAAATTATAATTGAAATAACTTTTAAATTTAGCAGTAATTCGAAATAATAAAGGCGGTCAAACGCCCTCAAACTGCTATCATTGCACACTGGATTGGCATGTGGCAGTTGCAGATGGCTGGATTCATAGAGTAGGCCCTGCTGGATCGCACTACAGGGGAACCCCGAGATTGTTCAGTGGCGTTTAATTGCAGGTTTCAGTTTGAATAAATGACATGAATTCACTCGTATTACTTTGTGAAACTTCGCGTGAGGTACTTTTTAGAACACTTACATAGATCACCTTGTATGTTTTCTACAGGACATTGAATTACAAAGAGATACCAAATACCTCAACAATGATACACAATATTTGCAATATCTCTGTATTGAAAATCTTATTCTAACGCATCGAATCAAACTTTTCAGGGGGCAATTTTTGGAAGTGTTATTGCCATGGGTCTCATAACTCTGATGTGTATTGGACAACAAGTTGCTATAGCCAGTGGATCATTCGAAGAAGAAAGCAAATTCACAAGTATAGAAAAATGCAAGTGTTTCAATATTACTCAAGTTGTGCAAAAGGAAATAATACCAGATACGTAAGTAACCTGTATTTAGCGCCACTGAATCTTGATTTTGATTGATCGGTTAATGATACATTTGTTTTAAAAAATCAGAAATGTTTATATTCAAGTGTTCTTGAAATAATTCCATATTACGTGAAATTGAAAATATATTTTGCTTGGTTTGAGAACATATTTCTTCGCCACATATGGAAATCACGATCATCTCTAGGACAGAGGCAAACTGCCTTGGTTGAAGATATTTCTTTTTTCATTGTAAAATTTATCATTTTGTATGTCCACTTTTTATCTGACAGACAGAATACAAAATGTTGAAATTGATAAATTCCATAGTGATCCAAAATGTATTCAATATGGTGTACCTCATGGAAGTGTTCTAGGCCCACTTCTTCTTAATATTTATCTTAATGATTTATTCCAACTGAAATCAAAAGGTATCATACATTCTTTTGTCGATGACACTGTTCAGTTTCGAGAGAACAAAATACATGACATTCACATCACATCTGAATTCTCAGCCAATCTCAAGTAATATCAGGATCAATAGTAAAATTAACATTTAAGAAACTCATTGTATTACATACCTTGGCGCAATGATTGATAATAATCTAAAATGGGATTATCATGTTGATTATGTTATAAAGAAAATTAGATGTCTCATACCTAAATTAAAACTTTTAAAACATGCATTGAACATCAATAATTCAAAAATGATATATTTTGCTTTAGTACAGTCTCAGTTTTTTTATGGTATTCTTGGATGGGGTGGTGTGAAACAAACATATTTGAAGAAATTGACAAGTATCCAAAATTGGATATTGAAAATTTTTTATGAAAAAGATTATTTATATCCTATCCTACAGGTCTATTATACAAAGAATCTAAAAAATGGATATAAATCAGCTATATATTTATAATGTATTGAATCACATTTTCAGGAATAAAAATGATATTAATTTCAAGAGTCATATACATGATACAAGAAATAAAACTGTAATGACCTTGAAATATAAAACAAATCATACTATTGGACAAAGGGATTATAAATATTTTATTCCTTATTCATATGATGATATTATTATTATTATTATTATATTTAAATACTATAATATATACAATATTTCGAACCAACATATCAATTATCATAATAGGAAATATAAAATCGAAATATGAATATGAAAGAATAAAACAAAAAATCAATGAATAAAAAAAAAAAACTTATGTCTTGAAAAGAAATATGTTCAACAATCCTTACAACATGTTACACTTCGTAAGGTTTTTCTCTAGTTTATTCAATATGAATACACTATATATTTATAACTCTTATTATGGAAAATGTTCTTTGAGTAAACTTATTTATTATTATTACTATCATTATTATTATTATTATAAGTATCTACATTTTTGTTTTTCAGGGAGCCAATCTTCTTTCTTTACCGCATCTCTTACATCTGGTACTCGGGAATAGGCTTCTTGGTGACTGTAATTTTGGGTTTGATAGGATCTTTCGTGACTGGGGCTAACAAAACCAGTGACGTAGATGACAACTTATTATCCCCACCGGTAAAGGAGTTCCTTCTTTCGCTTTCCAGTAGTGCCAAAACGTTTCGATTGAAAGCAAACGGTTGTGTTAACGTTAACGAAAACATTGCTATGGACAGTGCGAATATTGATAAGGTAGAGCTAGTTGAAGTGCGAGGTATCAAACAAAACGATTTGACTGATGAGGAAATAATACAAAAAATACGAAAGATATCGGCACCATCATAGAAAAATATTGTTATTTGAAATAAGTATCATTCCATTACTTTATTTATTATATGGTTCATCATTTTGTATATACTAAATAATTATGGAGCATTTACTTATAGGCAGGAAAACTTGTTATCATTAAACATATCACTATTATAAAGATAAATACATACAGCTCAGTATTAAATTGTACTTATATGAGATTCATGATATTTTTGAAGATTAATAAAGTTTGTAATTGCATTTTTTATTTTGATGAGAATTAAAAATAAAAGATTGTCAAATCGAAGAATATAATTATCGGGAGTTCATTGCATAATGGTATCGGGATCATTCAGAAAAAATAGTTTATAGAAACCCCCTATTTGTATTAATTTCATATAGTTTCGCTGAAAGCAATTATGTGTCATACGTAACTTTTTGTTAACTAAGTACGTAGATTAGCAGATTGCTTCAGTAATTATTTTCGAATCTCATGGTAACTTTCAAGAATCATAAGGTGAGACCTATGCAATACCTATAGGAGTTCACATAAACATGAAATGAGATTATATACACTATACACTATACAGTGCATCCCATTTTGAGGTGCCTAACTTGCCTTCTCTAGTTTTTCGTGAAACTCAAGATGGCTTAATCAGATTTTGCACAATTGTTTCCGTTTGTGAGATACAGGGCGATTTTGAAAATTCATACTCTTGGGAACCCTTCAATATCTAAGAAAAGTTATTAGAAATAATGTTGGGCAAAGATCTACATTAACAGACAATTTCGCGAAGAACCCATTGAAGATATACGATCTAACTAAACTATTATACAGGGTGTTTCTTAAGTACGTGTAGAAAATCCAGGAGCATGTTGCTGACGTCAAAATGAGAAGAAAAGTTTGTATAAATATATGTCTGAAAGTTATTCGTTCCTGAGATACAGAGTGTCAAAGTTGAACTCTTAATTTTTGTTTTTTGTTAATAAATTTCAAAATAATTGTTATATCGGAATAAAATTTGGTATCCAGGGGTATTTTTCAATGACAATATCAAATTGTATGTCAGTTTGTCTCTTTCGTGGTGGTGGCGCCACCTACATGTGTTGAGTCTTTTGAAAAGTCATAACTTTATTGTGCGTACCTGTATAACGTTTCATAGTAAAAAAATAGATTTCTAGAACACTTCTGTGTGAAAAATATATTCTTGATAGAGGTTGCTGCGAGCAACTGTTTTCGAGTTATTGGGATTCGAAATAATCGATGCATTCGGATTATTATTTCCATGTGGCTCGTTCAACGTTCGACTTTGACACTCTGTATCTAAGAAATGGATAACGTTCGGACATATGTTTATACGAACTTTTCTTCCTATTTAGACGTCAGCAACATGCCCCTGAATTTTCTACATGTACTCAAGAAACACCCTTTATACTATCCTTGATTATATACACTAGTGTGAATACTCAATGATACTATTTAAAGGAACACCCTGTGTTTTATTATTTCGTTGGATTAGTTATATTTTCTTTTGAATGATGTATATTACTATCTATACAAAGGATATTAATAATTGCAAGACAAAAAACAAAAAACTACATTATAATGAATCTGCTATCGTTGGCCATGGATTCTACAAGTTTTACTTGAAGGATCATTATGTGTGATTTGAACTATGTATTACTATTTATTTGTTGCATTCACTTAGCTACGTTTCATGTTTCACGATAGCGAAGTATAGTTAGAATCCTTTTTTGCCTGATATATAAAAAAAAATGGCAAATGAAAATTCACGGCCCACTACCAAAAACTCATCATAATTTATAAAGTAGGTACATTAAGGAACCATACCATAACAGTGATTGGGGTCTAATGAAACAAGTAACACCTGATGGTTGCATTCAGAATGTCATTTTTAATGGAAAAATGAAGAATTCACAGGGTGTTCCATTCAGAAATCATACGTTGATGTCGATTCTTGATGTCTTAAGCCCCCACTTTCATTTTTATATTTGAAGAAACAAAAGTTATATGGACGAACCACCTCTCAGGAACACCCGATATATCACGATACATCGCAATTATTTGATGATTCCATTTTGAAAATATTGTTTCTCCATAAAATATCACGTTCTACGATTGACTGGACTTTGATTCCGATCTTGCGCACTCCAATCCCCAATTGAAATCGATTTCCCAGTAAACCACCAGCAGCATTTCTTCGTTTCGCGCAAAATAATAGAAACTCTCGAAAATCTACCTCTGTCTACGCACCAACCTGCGAAAACCCACTTTCTGCAATCCACAATGACCTTATCCCATTATTTCTTCCATAAGTGTACCTCGCCTTCATCTACAGACTAATCGAGCAGAGAAAGTGTATGTACAACGTACGATGTTAGTGTGCAAGAAAATGTGACTACAATCACATCAAGTTACCAGAACGGAAGGAATCGCTAAAATGCGAGTGTTCAAAAGGTTGAACCGCTTAGAATGTCTACGCTGGTCCTACACTGTGCCCATACTGTGTTATCTAACGTTTTTCTTCATGATTTGGATGTTAGCAGTGCCTCTGAAACCGAACAGGGCGATAGTGAAGGAACTGAGGGTTGATGTTCATCCTGCCGATTCCTTCGAAATAAGGATTAAAAACAGCAATTTTAATACCGACAAGAAGAACGCAGACGATGAGAGCGACAAGAATGAATATCTGATCAACGCGAATGATGAAGAAAATTATAGAAAAGATAATTCTAAAATATTGATGGAAGTATTCGAAAAGTACGTAAGTATTTTATTTGGGTTCATTCTATTTTTGTGCTGTGGAAATAATTATCAGTGTAACTAGCAGGCGCATAAACAGCTTTGTTCCAAGGGGGCAAACAGGGGCGTCATTTAGGGGGGGCAGGGGGGGTCAACTGCCCCCCCCTGGTTTCAGACAGCGACAATTCGATGCCAGAGATCCTAGCCTCTTTTTCGTTGAATTATGTGAATACGAACCTTGGAGCGAAGAGCAAAATAATTATATAGGGTGAATATAGAGTGACTTGTAACTCCCCAGTCAACAAGTAGCAGAAATTGAAAAAATACGAAAATTGTCGCTCAATCCACTGGACATACCTTGATTCCATAATTATGGTTTTACATTACATTAGGCTTGTTCGCGTTCCATTTATAAACATAACTGACTATACTGATTCTTAAAGTTCCGTGGAACTGCGCATGCTTCTGATGGTTTCGAACTCGAACTGTTCATTTTTCTAACGCGAACAAACCGATCGCCTGATTGTAGGTGTTATGGAAAGGGGCAGTCTGGAGTCTGACAGTCTGTAGGAGTATGTGTCGTTCGTCGTTCGTATAGTGGCTCTGTAGAGGGTTAAGGTTAGAAGCTCCGTTACAACACGTTCGATTATTTGTGCCAATATCATCTTGCTTTTGTTACCGCGTGAGACGCGAATCGCAAATTGAAATCCTAATAGGTAGGACGGGCATTATTCCCTTTTTGACAATTTCTGAACTTATTGAGCTACTCGATTCCAATATAATGAAAAGATCGGCTGGCTCAAGAGGCCTGATGGAAAATTGGCTGAAGAATTGCAACAAAAAAACTGTCACTTTGAGTGATCGTTGTGAGACTGATAGCGAGCAACCGAATATTGAAACCGGAAGTGTCATCGATATTCGTTCAAATGCTGGTCATCCTAACAGGGTAAGTTGACTGCTGATTTCGAATAGTGTATTAAGATTTATTTATTTAAAATTGCAGTTGCAATCTACAGCGTCTGCCAGTTCGAGCACTTCGAGCAATGATAATTTAAAGATAACATCAAACTTATCATTGTCTCACAACCACCCTCCGGCTCAACCGATTATTTCCGAATTTCCAGTAAAAAATGGCAGAAGATTCAATCCCGAGCACTACAAAATATTCAGATGGCTTGAATACTCCATTGAAGATGATTCTGTTTACTGCTATGCATGTAGACATTTCTGTAGAAATACTGTATTTGCTGGACAATCCTACGGAAAAGTAGCGTTTGTTGACTATGGTGTGAGTAAGTGGAGAGATATCAAATCCATACTTCAACAACATTCTGTGAGTCAGAAACATATAAGTTCTATGACATTTTGGACAAATGCCACTGCAATTCAAAATAAAACTTCCCAAAACATAGCAAATACGTTGAACGAGAACCGCGCCTGTGATGTTGAAGATAACCGCCGGCATGTTCGATGGTTGATTAAAGCAACTTGTTTCCTGGGGAGGCAAGGACTAGCTTTTCGGGGGAAAGATGAAAGCGAAAATTCTAGGAATAAAGGAAATTTCATTGAGCTGCTAGAAATTTTCTCTGATGAAGATAAGAGGTTGAAAGAAAAATTGTCTCTACGATATGGTCACTACACTTCCCCAGAATATCAAAACGACTTAATCGCTACAGTCGGTGCTCTTACAAGACAATCTATTCTAGACAAGATGTCATCGCATGGGTTTTTCTCTATTTTAGTCGATGAATCGAAAGATATTTCAAAAAAGGAACAGTTGTCATTTGTTCTCCGGTTCGTGGATAAATTAGGTAATGTCCAGGAAAGCGCTTTGGGTTGTTATCATATGAAAAAATCTGATGCTGCAAGTTTATCTTCAGAGATAATAAATATCATGATGACCTACAAACTGGATTTGAAAAAGTGTATTGCTCAAAGCTATGACGGAGCATCAGTAATGAGTGGTGCATTGTCAGGGGTTCAGAAGAGAATACGAGATGTTGCTCCAAACGCAATTTATGTACATTGCCATGCACATAGGTTGAACCTTTGTTTGATTGCCACAGTTAAACACATTAAGGCAGTGAGCGATTTTTTTGACATTGTTCAAAATTTATATACTTTTATAATGAATGGTCAGACTCGATACGAAATGTTCGTTGAGTCACAGAAACAACGAAATGAATCTGTTATTCATTTAGAGAGATTAGTGGATACTCGCTGGTCTTATTGGTATAAGTCACTGAAAAAGGTTAAAGTACGCTATATGTCAATCAAGGATACATTGACAGCCCTATCTGACCAATCAGTTGATAAAGTGGTACGAGCTGAAGCTACTGGTTTACTGGCAGAAATTTCCAGGACAGAATTCACTTTAACTTTGTGCACTATGGAATCAATACTAGAAAAAGTTCATGCCTTGTCTTGTGAGCTTCAAAATACAGAGCTCAATATAGTAGCAGCACTCAAATTGGTCAATTGTACCAAAAAAATGTTAGAGAACATGAGGAATGATACCTCATGGAATGCAATAAAGGACACCGCCACGATAATGAACTCCGATCAAGAAATGACTATTCAACGTACCAGGCACTCCAGGCAGAGAAAATATAATAGCAGATTAACCGATTATTTTGTTGATAGTACTATAGGCAAGAACGATAATCCTGAAATCAAAATTGATGTATTCTTCATGGTCCTAGACAGGTTTATTTCGGAATTAGATCGGAGGTTCTTGGATCACAATGAAATACTGAATTCCTTAATTATATTTGATGTCAGCTCTCATAATGAATTCCTGAACATAGATTCTGCGAAGCCACTTATAGAGCATTATAATCAATCAATCAATCAAATTGATTCAATCCGTTTATCAAGCGAATTCACTACAGCCAAGCAATTTTTAGAATCGGATATGCATGTATGCAAAAATATTATAGACATTAGAGATCGACTGAATGCATTACCAGAAGCTTTTAGTGAATCATTAAAATTAATAGATTTGGTTCTTACCTTACCCGTAACAACAGCTACCAATGAAAGATTTTTTTCTTCAATGAAAATAATCAAAAGTTATTTACGGAGTACTACTGCAGACAATAGATTGAGTGATTTACTCGTGATATCTGTTGAATCGGATGAAGTGAAAAATATCGATCTTGACGAAGCTGTTGATCATTTCGCCAGGATGAAAAAACGACGATATCCTTTGTTGAATTAACTAATTGTGAATTTACTACTCCTTTGTGATTACAACGTCAATGTACCTTTATTTCTGTGACATATTTATTTGATTTAGAATTCTTATTTATTTTTGTTTTTGTTACGTTTGTTACCAGAGAGTTATTTCTAAGTTCAATGCTCAATATAATATCATACAGGGTGGCGCAAAAGAAACGAAGGGGTTTGAAAGGCCTATAACTTTCTTTAATTCAATCTTATTGTTTTTCAGATTTGTGATTTGTGTGAAAAAGACTTGGGAAATTCAATATGGAAAATTACACGATTGAACAACGAACGAAAATCATTGAATTTTATTTTGGAAACCAACGGTCAATTATTCTGACTCAACGCGCCTATCGCCGTTTTTTCCATGTTAGAAATGGTCCATCAGAAGCAACGATAAATCGTCTAATTGCACGTTTTCGACAACAAGGAACTGTCTCTGACCTTCCTCGAACTGGAAGGCCGAAAACGACGTGTAGCGAAGAGAATGTTCAACGCGTGCTGGAGAGTGTGCACGAAAATCCAACAACTTCAACAAGGAGACGTTCAACGCAACTTCGGTTGTCGCGGCGATCGATTCAACGGATTTTGGCCAAATTGAAGATGTTTCCTTATAAGGTGCAGCTTGTTCAAGAGCTAAAACCCACCGATTATCAGCAGCGGCTCGATTTTGCTGTTTTTTTTCGGCAGAAAGCGGAAGAAAATCATGATTTCGTGCACAATCTGATAATGAGTGACGAAGCTCATTTTCACCTGAATGGATTTGTCAATAAGCAAAACTGCCGAATATGGTCAACAGAAAATCCTAGGGAAATCCATCAAAGGCAATTACACCCTCAAAAGTGTACAGTTTGGTGTGGAATATCATCCGAAAGGATTTATGGTCCATATTTTTTTGAAAACGAAGTGGGTGCTGCAATCACTATCAATGCTGTTCAATACCGCACCATGTTGGCTAACTTCTTGAGACCAGCTGTGGAAAACAACCCACAACTATGGTTTCAACAAGATGGAGCCACAGCCCATACAGCAAGACAAACAATGGCATTGTTACAAGAAATTTTCGGCGAACGCATCATTTCAAGACGGAGCGATTTCAATTGGCCGCCGCGTTCTCCGGATTTAACCGCTCCCGATTTCTTCCTTTGGGGATATCTCAAGGAACGTGTATACGTGAATAAACCAGAGACCATACTTCAACTAAAGAATAATATTCGAGAAGAAATTCGAGCAATAACACCTGAAATATTGCGCAAAGTCATGGAGAAAGTCTTGGAAAGAGCGCAACTTTGCGAAGCTGAAAATGGACACCACCTACGCGACGTTATTTTTCACGTTTGAATCAAACAAATTCCCCATTAATGTAGTATGTTTGAAAAAAAAAACAATTGAATAGGTACTAAAATAAACAAGTTATTTACTATTCAAACCCCTTCGTTTCTTTTGCGCCACCCTGTATAATGTGGTTTTTTGTTTTGTTATATCTACCTGAGTTGGTTGTGTCCAAACCTATTTATATTGAATGAAAACTCCTCAAATTCATCGTTGTATAAGTAAGAAAAGTTTTTTCTGCACATAGAATGCATGAAAATCTGCATCTGCACATACTGGTTGGGAAACTTTACTTTCGATTTGAAACCATTTGACCTTGAAGCAAAAAAAATTTCGCCTGCGGCGCACTTTTCTCCTGACCTCATCTTGCCCCCCCTGACAAACTCTGAAATGACGCCCCTGGGGGCAAAGTAATTACCCCCATTGCCCCCTTCCTTGTATACGCGCTTGTTAACTAGTGCGGGAATAACATATATTCAGTTTAGAGATCAAGGGAACATTTCACACTAGTGCAAAAAGAATAGTTATTTTTCGCTATAACACAAAATTGCTCTTGTTTTACTGTGTTCGGAACATCAGGTACTTTGTTCGTTCAATTTTATTTCCGTATCTGATATCTCGATGACTCCATTGTGTTATTATTTCAGAAAAATGTATTCGCCCAGGGAATGTCAAATTTCAAGCAATGACAGCTCTGTCTAATAGATGAGAAGACGAAGAAATCGAAAATACCGCTGTTATCTAGTATAGCCGTAGAAAAATTATAGTGTATAACTTGCACGGAATGCTAATTTCCTACTCGAATAATTGCAGCATTCGCTTATGGCTCATGCTGCAAACTTCATTCTCGTAGGAAATCACTATCATTCCGTGCTCGTTGAACAATATACTATTGTTTTACTAGGCAGGAAAGTACAAGATTTAAAGCCGCGGCTGGCGTTTCATAGCCTAGGCGTAGCCGAAGCTAGGAAACACGCCAAGGCATTACATCTTCTTTTCTGCGATGTGAAACATATAATTTTTTCTCGAAATTCTTTTCAATTTCACGCAAAGTCCAAATAATCCATCATTTTTTGTTCACCCATAGTCATTGTCAATTTTGATTACCAATTTGATTCAAATTACTTGGAACGTTGCATAGAAACAGACTTTTTCTGCCCAGGCAGTAAATGTACACCTTTTCTGCCTGTTAAGTGTCATTAAAAATCCACTTGCAATGTCATTTGGAGAAAAATATGTTTTTTGCACTAGTATCAACTTCTACTTGAACGATCGAGGGAAGACATGATTTTTGTTTCAGAGCGGACAAAAACGGTGATAAAAAACTAGATTCCAAAGAACTTTCTCAGTGGATTAGAAGGAAAATTGTAGAACACATTTCGCTAGCCGTGAGCACAAACCACGAATTATTCACCAAAATCGATGTGAATCCCAGAAATGGAGTGATTACTTGGAGAGAATATCACAATTATTTTTTGAAGAAGAGAGGTTTTAGCGACAAATATGTCAAGAATCACGATGAAAGACGACACAAAGGGCTACAAAGATCACTTAAAGGTACCTACCTAAGATGTTAATTTCAAATTCGGTAAATTGCTTCATCGTAAAGAATCACATCTTGCTTTCAGTAGAATAAAACAATTGGCAAATTATTAAAAAAAAAAGAGAGTTAAGTATAGTTATACATGGTTATACTGATTTGAGCTACCCTGTATAATACAGAACACAACTATTACACGGGGTTGATATGCTACTCCCAAATTTCTATGAATCCATCAGATACCGCAGTAATAAACATTAAATCAGAGCTACAGGATATGAACAAGAAATAACCGTCAAGTATTAGGCAAAGAGATTTAGGAAGTAATTATAAATCTAAAAATGATAAGTATGGGATATAATTATGTACTCGGAAATCGTTAGGGTATATAGAAGTATTAGGCAAACAGATTTAGGACGTTATTATAAAACTAAAAATGGTACCATATAAAGGCTGTCTCTAAATCTCGAGGGCTAATTGCATTAACCAAATTTTCCCTTATACCACAAGAGTTTCAATTATTATTACCAGAATTGTTTTCGAGAACACGAATATTTTGAAAATTCCCACGAGTCAAAGACGTCTAAAGTATCATCGACCGTGAGAAACCCTGTAAATTCGTATCGAACATGTGAAATATTTATTAACGTTACGTTGATGAGGTTTAGTAGCCTCTTCACCAAATCTTTCGTTGGAAAAACCTCATGTGAGTTTATTAGTGCTCCCAGAAGGTTGTATCTCCAACGCGCTAGTACCTCGCACTCCAATATTAATTACATGGGTGGCCGTTTAATCCTCCTCATTGCATAGTCTGCATATGGGTTCGTCTGTATAGATGCCCATTTGATGCATACGCTTCCTCAAGGGGCAGTGACCGGTTATAAGTCCCGTCACTTGTCTGATCTGACTTCTGTTCAGGCTCAGAATGTCGTTAGTCACTAATCTGGACAGTGTCTGCTGTGTCTTTGTCCTGGAACGCTGTTCCAGTATGCCTGGTGTCAGTGTTGTCTTTCTTGCGTCCACCTTGCCAACCAGCCGCGTATTGAGGTTTTGGGGATTCCGAACAACGCCGCAAACCCTTGCCTAGCAAAAGCATCAGCTGCTTCATTGCCTTCAATGGGCTTATATCACAAAATTTTTTTATTTCATAATCCGATAGAAATCGCCCAAACTAGCTCACCACCGCAAACCGTTTCTTGCTGTGAGCTCCCTACATTTTATAAAAAAATATTGAAATCCCCGATTTTTCGGACCTCTGAAAACGAGGCGATGATGTGACGTCAAAACCCTAACACTGAAACAAGACTATTCCAGACAGAGACGAATGATACATGATTTCTGACAGAGTGAATTAGCGCGAGATCACAGTTGAAGGAATTAATATATCAGTTGCCTCAGTCTCCGTCGGGCGTTTGGTATTTTCTTTTAACTATGGCGAGATGAGGTTTCTACGTCATAAGAGAGGGTCCGTTTTCAGAAGGTACTATTATTTATGTCCAAAAATAAAACATTCCAGTTAATTTTTCCATCGAATTATGTCGTCAATCATTATTTATGTATAAAAGGATCATTATAAACATGGTTTGAGTTAAAAGTTTTACTGAGGTGTACACGCCCATTCCCTTATGCCCTGGCACCTCGCCTGGCACCCATTGAAGCGTTCATTGTTGTTGTGGTTAGCGAATTGTCATTTGAATACCGTTGAATCAAAATAACAGTATGAGATTACGAAAAGCTAATAATATAGTTGTTCAAGGAATATAATGTGGTGACCACTAGTATATTTTTCCTAGCCTTCTAGCCTCGCTTCTAGCAAGTCAAAATGTAATTTATTTATAGAAAGGATCATGAGAGACAAGGCTTCGTGGATGGAAGCAGCGAGGTCCAATCCAGACTCTCTCAACCTCGATGAGTTCTTGTCCTTCACTCATCCCGAATCCAGTGCAGTAAATCAGCTGGCACTGGTTGATGAGCTCTACGATAAATTCGACCGAGATGGAGACGAAATGTTGACTGAAAATGAGTTCGCCATACTTCAAACTGATGGTGAGTTTTTTTGAGAAGGAACGGTTCATGATGATGGTGATGAAATGTGGAATAAAGTGGTATAATTCGCTATCTTTACTTTCCAAAAGGGCCCTAAATTATTTTGTGCCCAATGACCACAGTATAGTTTCAGACGGTCTTGACCGTCAGTCAATTCACATAATGACATCAGGTAATCAGAAAAGCTAGAAGCAGATGTCATCTGTCAATCTTCGTTTATTCGTTCGCAAAAACGGATTTTTGTTTACTACGAAACTACCTCATTAATGATATGCCTCAACGTTGTATTCTGCCTCTGTGTTCATGTTCATCAAGAATAAGCAAAAAAGCAGGTTCATCGTTTACTCACACCTTACTTCTGATTCATGTTATTTTTTTCATGCATTCCATGTCATAGAATATTCGCGGTAATCAAGGTCATCATCTCACGTTGCGATGACATGAAAACTACGGAAAAACATGTTCAACTTTCAATCTAAGCCAAGAATGTTTTCCACAGTTTTCATAATAGTGTCTCAAATATCGATCAGTTGTTGGCCTTTAAAGAGTGTGGACACGCTTGTCACAACTGACATTTCCGGATTGTCATCATTTTCAGATTTGTTCAGTTCTGAAAATTGAATAGGTGTCCTCACGAAAATGTTTTCGAATATATTTCGTTCGGTAACGTATTGCGAAAATTCTAAGAATGATGATCAACACTTATTTGAGACTAGAAGACATTACAAATGTTCGTTGAAGCTTCAAATTCCGATATTTATTTCATGGGAAAGCATTCATAGACCTAATTTTGATATAACTACACAATGAGCATTATGTGCCGTTATCTACATATCCAATTATACAGGGTGTTTGGTGCATCGTGTGCCAAATTGAAATGGTCGAATGAAGGGGTCATCTGCTATCCTTTAAGACTAGTTAACACCTTTCATGCCCTATAGATTATTTTTAATCGTCTTTTTATCTGTTTATCAAAAAAATACCTAAATTCCACATTCAAATACAAATTTTTAAAAAAGTATGAGGCGTAGACTCAGAATTTTAATTTTATTTTATGTGTGTTGTGTTAGAGTACTTTTAAATACGAAACTAGAGGCATAAGTCATCTAGTTTTTTTTTTAATTTACTCGCAAAGTTTCTAAATATGTGAGACTCAATTTAAAGCTGTGACTTTACATGGCTACAAAAAAAAAAAAAAGCGACCAGGATCTTCCAACTCCCTCAAAAGTTCTATAGTTCTATCAGTAATAACATTGGAAGTGAAAAGAGACTATTCTTTAAAAAGGAACCTTTACTCCAGGAAATAATGTTGTCAAAACTTTTTCTCAATAGTAAATGCCTCCACAGTACTTTTTTAAGGAAGAAGGGAAAATATCCCTCCTGCATAAAAAAGGACACTACTTTTTTCAAACCAACTAACCTAAATCGGCCTATATGAACCTTCTTCCTAAAAATAATATTTTTCGGAAAATCACTTGAGTATACAAAATTTAAAAAAGCCGACCGTCACAGGAATTGAACCAGGGTCGCCAACGTGAGATTCGAACGTACAGTCAACTACGGCACGAGTCGTAGTAACTGTGGTAGTTTCTCTATAGGCGCTAGTATTCGAACGAAGAAGCGGTAACTAGCAACGCTGCACTCCCCCCACCATTTTGAAATTGATGGCAAGTATACTCCCCAGACGCTACTGTATAATTGCAGTGACTTGTTAGGCGCTTGGCACAGAAGCTTTTGGAATTGCGTTTGTCGAAAGATACAATATTTCTAATAATGGCGCTTGGCTCCTTTTTGCTCTACAGGGGCGATATACAATGTTGAATAAGTTTGTTATTATTTCAAGTTCCTACACTGACATCAGAGGTTAGCCCTTCCGTGATCATGGTCGCGAATTATATTTCAGGAAACGGGGACGAGACTCTGATAGTGCGTCAAGACGAAAACGAAAGAAGGGCGGAATTCCGGAAGTCCATCGACTTGAACGGAGACGGCCGAGCCGATAGGAGGGAGCTGCTGCACTACGTGGCCCCCCAGAGCCCGCGGCACAGCGAGCACGAGGCCGAGGCCCTGCTAGCGCTCACCGACAACGATCGCGACAACATGCTGTCCTTGGACGAGATGCTGGCCCACCCGGATCTGTTTCTGAAGTCGAAGATGGTCGATACCGCCCGGAGTTTTCACGATGAGTTTTGACTAACTATTTACTTTCGGATCTTGACAAAGTAGATTACGATATGTTTCGGAAATATTTTGCGATGACATAAAGGTATGAGAACGATATGCGAAGGAACAAATACTATGAAAGAATCATCATCAGATATGGAGTAAATATAGAGGCCAAGACCATGGGTAATGTCAAAGGAAATGATGGAGCTCCTTGGTTTTATTATATTTACTTTATCTATGTGGAAGCCGAAATAACATCCGTGCAATTATTGGTGAAGATTTCTTGAGCTTATCAGTTCTCACTGAAGACGATGGAAACCAAGACAGTTGTTTTTCAGTTTTTCACTCAATACATGGTGATTCATAATGATTTGAACACAGTAGAATGGTAGAATCCTATCATATTTTTATGCATATACAGTGTGTCCATTTAGTGCGTAATTCTTCGATATCTCGAAAGCCATAACCTATAGAGAAAAACTTTGAAGAAAAAACTTTTTCAGTTACTAAAGTTGCTCATTTCAAAAATATTTTCAACATTACTGGGTGTTTTATAAGAGCAGGGCAACTCGAAGAAGAGTTTTTTTTAAATGGAAAACCCAGTATTGTTCATTCGGAATTAATTCCGTCGAGGTTCACCTTCACATCGCTGTAAAAAAAATTGAAATCGGTTGCAGCGTTGCCAAGTTATAATCGATAAATCTATTTTTACCATTATTGAAGAGTCATGTTGAATTGGCCATGGTATATTCATTTAGTCAGATTTTGAAAATATTTTTGGCACACGGTAGGAGCAAGGTCCAACGTATAACAATCCAGTAATTTTGCGACATGTTCTTCAACAGGGTGCTCAATTTTGCATTTAGAATTTTGCAAGATTCAAATGACATTCATCAGAATTTTTCAAATGGAACACCCTGTATTTTTATTCAAAAATTCGTTTCGACATCTTTCGCCTTTTTATCGCTGGAAAACAAATCGGAATCGATTGCGGCGTTGTCCAGTTATGGTTGATTTCCTTATTTTCACTACTATTTCGGGATAATTTGTACGTCATAGTTCTTTCATTTATTTGAATTGTGGAAATATTTCGTTGCTACGGTATAATCAAATTTGTTCATTGACCATTCATATATTTTTTTACAAAAGGAACATTTACAGGCTCTCCAAGTTTGAATTATTCTCGAAATATTTGTGTAATGACCTGTCAAACATCGCCTCAATCAAATATATCTTGGATTGATTCGACATTTTGCTGAATTTCCTCCCAAAAGCCTCGTAGTAGAGACATATTGTTTGTATCATTATGTTTACCTTCTTCAAGGTAAATGGGGATTTGGAATGTGGGAATAACGACAATAAAAATGGCCCAAATTTCAAAAAAATTTCCTAATTTTCGCATTCCGCATCTTAATTGTTTGTATTGTAGAAGTTATTTCAAAGACAGGCTTTGCTTTTGGCATGTTTGTTTGTTTCACATATCATTTGAATCATAAGTAGCAAGATTACGGCATATTTCAAATTTGGACGATGCACACATCACAAAAATACCTGAATGATCTATGTAGAACCTCGAATGTCATGTGGCAAGCAATATTCCCAATTCCCACACTCAAATCAAATAAAGGAACCATCAGGACGAACAATTTACCCCGAAATGGTAGTAAAAATAAGGAAATTACTCATAACTTGAAAACGCCGCAACCGATTTCGATTTTTTCTTCTGCGATGAAAAGGCGAATGATGTCGAAATGAGTCCGTGATGAAAAATACAGGGTGTTCCATTTGAAAATTTCTAATGATCCTCGTCTGAATCTTACAATATTCAGAATGTAAATTTTAGCACCCTGTAGAGGATTATCTCACAAGATCACTGGATTGGTATACGTGAGACCTTGATACTACTGTATGCCAAAAATATTTTCAAAATTTTAATAAATAAATATACCATACCCAATTGAACATGACCCTTCAATAGTAGTAAAAATGGGTTTATCAATTATAACTTGGCAACGCCGCAACCAAATTCAATTTTTTTCACAGCGATGTAGAGCTGTACTTGAGCGGAATAAATTTCGAATGAACAATACTGGGTGTTCCATTTGAAAAAACTCGTCTTCGAGTTGCCCCGCTCTTATGAAACACCCAGTATCGTTGGAATTATTTTCGAAATGAGCAACTTCAGTGACTGAAAAAGTTTTTTCTCCAAAGTTTTTCTCTTGTGATAATTGATTTCGAGATATCGAAGAATTACGCACTAAATGGACACACTGTATAGGGATTGTCCATTACTTTATGTACAACTAATTATGGAAGCAACCTATATATAGTTCAAATGGGGTTATAAATCAGTTGACTACGAGAATGACATGTTATTTTCATCGGTAACGTATATCAAGAAACAAGTCAAAATTGATTTTGATGTTATACATACCTATATACGCACATTCAAACTGTTTATATATTTTTGAATAGTAGGTACATTAAAGTTTATGAGATTTTTCTAGTATTCTTCTTTGGCTCATTCAACTTGCAATGATAATAATATGGGTATACAAAAATGTACAATAAGAGAGACGAGATTGGTGCAGTGGACGAGCACCCGACTCATGACCGCTAGGTCGTGGATTCGATTCCTAACCAATTATTTAATTTACGAATTGAATATTGTAGTTTCACAGCATCTGCTGGAGCAGATAATCCTGCACGATTCACTGTTGCGTTCCAATTAACAGTGGTGCTTCTGAGGTGGCGCATGGAGTTAGTCACAAAGCCTACACATAACACACAATTTCAGAACACTTTGGGCTGAAGGATCTCAATGGAGGTCGATACCACAGAACTCATAATCATTATATCTTATATACGACTAGAGCGCGCGATCCTATGGTTTCATACCAAATTTCTGAACAAAACATCCTTCCATGGGCGAAAACAATACATAAAAGTAACGCAAAAAGTTCCTATTAGTATGGGTCCGAATAGTATGCTTCTTAAGAAAGCTACTCCCTCCCTTGAACACGATTTTTTCTCTATAACTATTTTATTTTATTTTGAAAATCCAGTCCAGTATAGCCATTTGCTGGTAAATAAGATTCTGAATTCAGAATTGTTGATTAAAATGTAAGTTGAAGAGGTTTTTTCTATAGTATTTCCTCGGGTATGGCAAATTCAATAAACATCCAAATCAGAAAGTTTTCATTTTCTCATAAACGGTACCTATATGCTCTATCGAATGGTACTGCGAGTACCTTTTTTACGTAGAAAACTCTAAAATTGAATAATTTCATATCAGAATCACGATAGCCCAAAGAGCAAAAGAAAAAAATATGATGTCTTTACCCTTATCCTCCCCTGCATGTGACGCCCCTGAATAAAATGTCGAAGGGTTCAAACTGTTTTTATATTTTTGGAAAGTTCATTAAAGTTTATGCGACTTTGCTACCCAACAAACAATTTTGGTCGGCCTTCTGGTCCATACTATGCAGGTCAGAATTGGCTGCAACAGCAAAATTTCTGTGAACATTGATGAGCCAGTACCATTAGGAAACTCTGGCCATCAGGGCCAGTACATGTCTTCCGATTCAAATAAATGATACTACACCTTTCTTGAAATGGTGTGTGTACGGAATTTATTTGCGGTTAACTTTCAAATGGGAATATTTCATTAATAATAGGTAATTAAAAACAAACAAAACAAGGAAAAATATCCGATTTTCTGATTGACTAGCGAATTTCTGTAATGAAAAGTTGCCTTTTTTGTTATGGTCGAATTTGATAACTTTTATGATAATTTTCAAGTGCACAACGGCGGAATAGCGCAGTGGTTGAGGGCTCGACTAGCAATCAGAACGCCGAAAGGTTGCTAGGTTCGATCCCCGGCATAGCAGTGAATATTTATTTATAAAACGAGTTATAAATTCTAATTCTCGTAACCTCTGCCGGAGATGATTTCGCACGATTTGCTGTTGCATTCAAATTAACAGTACTGCTCCTAAGGTGGCGTATGGAGTTCGTAACAAAGCCTATATACACAGAACACACATGGGCTGAAGGACCTGTCGTAAGGTCGATGGCCAGTTAGTATGTACAATCTGTGTTATGTACATACATACCAAAGAAGTATATAATATAATACTTACCTACTTACCTTATAAATGCGATGAATAATCATAGTAGTAGTCCCTGTACATGTACAATTTGAGGACATATAGGTAGACATTTCAGATAGTATGAACGAAGAGGAGTGATAATTATTATTAATGATGGGTAGATTATTCAGTTTAATTCATCTGGTAATGCTGGTACTTCACTGGCAATGCTGGTAATTTTACGTTTGTGAAACACAATTGCAGAGATTATACACACATAATCTCTGACAAATGAAACAATAGGTATAGATGGTAGGTGAGGCTGGTAGGAATCTGCAAGCCGGCCAATCAAGTGACAAACTATTTCAGATCCTGCTCATCCTTGTATTAGTTATCTGGTTGTTATAACTATAATATATTATTCGAGATATTATTATAGGAAGAGGCATGTTGCATGCTGATTAGAAATAAACCAGGGATTGTTGGGGACGCAGCATTGCAACAAGTCAAAAGAGTACCTATACTCTTTTTATTATATTATATAATATGGTAGTTACTTACTTGCTAATCACATCTCGGTAACATCAAATTCTAAGGGCACACAAGATTGTTTATTTTACTCACTTTGTTCCACTCACTTAGGTTTTTAAGTTGAATGAATTGAAATTATAATTTTTCAATTTTCTGAGCCGGCATCTTCTTGGTTCTTCACAGATTACAATGTTGAACATTTGCAGGGTTGCCAATATGCCAATATGAAAACTTGGGGTATGCTTTCAGCTTAGGGTATGTTTCGTTTCTAAAGTTGGTTGTGGTTTATTTATAAAGTCACTCTAGAGCTGTTAACGTAAACGTAGAAATTGACAGATAAGCATGCGCATTTTCCTTATGAGTGTACGTTATCTCACATACTTTCACGTATACCTCAAAACGACGTACGTTGACCAAACTATACTCGAAATATGCCGATGAATCAAAATGATCAAATTCGGGATCCCCTAGAAATACATTTAAACACGAATAAATGTTCAGATCCCGATAAACTACCAAAAATGACCAATACAAATCGAAACCAACAGTCATCATTACGTTACGATGACAGTGAGTCGTCAGCGACGACTTCAACTCAATTCAAAGTCAATACGTAAACTTTATTTTTCATACGTTAACGTCTACGTACACGATTCCTGAAATCATCGCTATCTCGGCAAGAATGATAACTGACAATAATTCGGGTTGAAGTTTGGGATTGTATTGAATGTATGAAAATCTTGGAACAGAGAAAAATATGGATTTAGGTAGGTATAAAATGAGTAAATGATAATTCTCTGATGAACAATTCTTGTGTTCCAATCATTTGGACCATGTTTCTGATTCTCCAGGTTGAATTAATGAAATAGATTGAATTGAACCGAAAAATGCCAGTGTTCCTGACAGATATTTGCTTTGGTTCCTGTAATTTTCCAAAACAATGACTATAGCAACCAGTATTCTGTTGGCCCCTTGAGTAGGTACATTCGTTTGCTTACAAAGGGGCCTGATCCAGGTCTGATCAATATAACATTGACCACCCCTGTTTTACTTCGAGGTAGGCACCTCCTGTGGCTTTCTTCACTGTTGCTACCCATGGCATCCCCAAAAACTCAGTTTGTAGGAGAAGGTGGAGTAAATCACCTTTATAAAAAATCTGGCACCCAAGATATCCGAAACAAGTACATACTATACCAGTAGTATGTCCAAAAAGCGCCAAAATGAGGGCCCAGATATAAAAGCATCCTTACACTATTTAAAAAAATATATACTGTGTTACCATATGGTAACGTTAATTCAATCAATGATATTAGTTACTGCAACCATGACGTATTTCTGTAGTTTACTTTTTGAAAGGTGAAGAGGTATTCACAATGAAAAATCAAATATACCGGTCGTGCATATAATGTTGTATTTTGGGTGTAACTTGATTTTATGAACTAGACGTGTTAATAGCCCTCGCTATCGGTCGGGCTCTTACTAGCTACGGTCCACGAAAGCTTATTTTACACTATCGATCTCTAACATACATTCTATCCAGACCACTAGTAGTCATCATATCTTATCTTAGCAACTCGAAAATCTCGGGTAAATTGCTCGCCTGAAAACGCTTCTTCCCAATACGCATGAACCCCCAGACTGTCATTCATGACAAAGAGTAATGTTTCTTGTTAGTCCTGAATACGCAGGATTCAGCTAGAGTACGATTTCGTGGCTTACCTTCATTTTTATGGATTTAGCGGTCTAGATTGTATTGGATGTCGGTGCACTCGATACATAAGGTATTTTTTCGCGAGATCCCGTTGACTTGCTGGAACTGATATTCAGTTTCCGTTGCATTTTCGCGTCATAACGGTAATGGGGGAGTATGATAATGACGTCATCAGTGACGTCACAATTTATTAAATGGGAACTGTTTTAGTTCCCGCATCTGTGAACATGGTTACTGGTGTTTATAGTAATTGACAAATGACATTGTATCATTATTTTTTAAGTATCATTTAATTATTTAGAAGTAAACATATTTATAATTATTCAAACTATTTTTGAGATACCTACTGCTCAGTTTTTAAATCAAGAAATGGAAGAACACCAACAAGAACACCAATAGATAGAGGGGGTCATTATGAGCGATATACCACAAAAATATTAATGAATTTTTTTCAGGAGCAAATGGAGAATTTCCACTTGCATATTTTTTTTTTTAAGAAACAGTGTTGGTCATTCTGCAACATAACAGTCAATAACGTTCAATAAGTTGTTCTTTTCATTCGAAATATCTGAAAAAATACCACTTCATTATATTTATTTATCCAGTCCATATGATTCACTCTAGGATGAATATAACTTACTGAAAATCGTGGCTTTATAATTGTACTTTGGAAAGTTGAATGGGATGAGACAGGTACAATCGAAGTTAACCGGTTCATTTTCGTGAGAAATCAAAGGATGAACGGCATCCGGTTTATTTTTTGGTGGGGGTATAACCGCTCTATTACCGGTGGCAAATGAACTCAATATAATACTCAGTTCATTGCCGGTGGCTGATCAACGAGAATTTGCGAAAAAAATACCTTTAAACATTATCGAATAAAGCAGCGGCGGCAGCCATCAGCGGCAGCCTACTGCCGGGATCCAATTGTGTTTGTGCTTAGTTCATGTTCATGTCAGTGGTCAGTGCCAGTGGACGACTGACTGACACGAACATTTCGAGGTTAGAACCTAATGTCAATTTGTCATTTTCAAAAAATATTTTGGTTTTTGAATTGGAACAGACTAACAGACGAAATAATAATTTCAAATTTTCTATTCTGGCTTCATGCTTCAAGCTCTGATTGGACTAAACACCCGCTGGGTCAAAGTCTCCATATAAAAAACTGGTGTAGAAATGGGGATACTAGTTCAGTAGATTTTATTTATGCCAGTCATGATCAATAATTCCTCAAAGCACTTACATTTTTCTAAACTATGGAAACAGCTTTATAATAGAGGTTGGTAGGTACACCTATCCTTGAAGTCCTCATACATTTTCTATTAGTAATTTAAATTCAAGAGAATTTTGTTTTCAGGATATCACAATGGTCCAAGAGTGCTGTACCCACATAGGAGTCAACTCTATTCAGGCATTTGTCTCATTAAAATGAACAGATCTCCCAACTTGCAGTATCTTAGCAATAAAGTTAAAGAAGAGGAACCTATCAAAACTCAATCAATTAAAAATGATGAAATTAATAATCAAAATGTAATCATTACAGAAACTCCATCAAGAAGAGAAAAACTACAAAAGGCTGTCAAGGAGTATGGATCAACTGTTATAATTTTTCATGTAGGGATGTCCTTAGTATCACTGGGTACTTCTTATCTTTTAGTATCTGCGTAAGTGGAGAGAATAAGTTTTTAAAATGGTATTTTTGATCATGTTTTGTTCCAGTGGTTTAGATTCATCAGCAGTTTTCAATGTTCTGGGATTAAAAGAATGGGCAGAAAATAGTCAGTTAGCTGCTAATGCTGGAACATTTGCTGTAGCCTATGCTATCCACAAAGTATTTGCCCCAGTGAGAATAACAATTACTCTTGCTGCAGTTCCTTTTATTGTCAGGTATCTGAGGAGAGTTGGTTTCTTGAAAAAATAATTATATCATGGGGAAACATTTTTTGAAATCTGGGAAGGGCTAAGGCAATAAAACATTTGAAATTTTGAAAAACTATTTTATGGTGAAATCTAATATTCAAAAACAAAAGCAATAACTTGAATACAAGGGTAAAGTGTACAAAAAAAAAATGGTTAAAACAAAGGGATCATCAAAATAAGGATAGAACAAAGGGAACATTAAAATGAAAGATGGTAAAAGGCAAGATATAACATTATATGAAGTTTATAAAGTTTTCAAATTTTTATGCCACTTCATCTTCAAGTATACAGTGTATGATCCATACATTCCAAGATTCTATATTGAAACCATTTGAAACTGATGGTGACGGTTTGCTGATGAAGTAGAACACAAATAAAATCAAAACAATGTAATTTTCTGATGATGAAGTAGCACACAAATAAAATCAAAACAATGTAATTTGAAAAATAATTTTATACCTTGAAAACTTCTGAAACATAAGATTCACTAGGAATGCTCTGAATAGATGTTTCAGGGTATCTATTACTATACTAGTGATATCATCATAATAATTGCCATCATTTTTTTTGTGTTATTGGGAAAAAATGAAGAAATTCTCACAAAAAAATCTATCAAAATATGATTTCCAAGAACAGGTTTTCCTCGGATGGGCAATTCTTATATAAGATTTATTTTCATTTTGCTCTTCATAGGTGTAATAAAAAGTTTTAAACATCACAGTCTAATATGTGTTTTGAGCTAATTGTTGCTTAAAGAAAAAACAACTACCTACAACTTCAGCTATAACTACTAAGGAAATGACTCAACCAGTAGGTACCTATTTTTATACAATATTGCTGAAATAAAATAGCTGATAAAGATAAAGTAAACAGCAATGTCCCGTTTACATTTCTCAAAAAAGTTTTCGAACTCAGTAGTTTAACATTCCATAAAAAAGTAATTTTGTTTGAACAATTAAATTGAGCCAAACATTCGTCGACATTGCAATTTCATGGAAATGACTGTGTCTGTGGATATACAGGGATACCCAAATTAGGTATTTGCAACCATCAGTTTATTCAACTGGAAGAAAATTCCTGATGTTTACTGGTACAAAATGTTGAAAATGATAGGGAAGTCATCAATGTTGAACACTCAATTTGAATAACTCTGTATACCAAAGCTAAAATATGTCCATAATACTGACAAGGCCGATCGCAAGGTAGCTGCTAGTTGTTATGCAGAATAATAATTTATTGCACCTCCCAGGGTTGACGATGTGTCAGGGTTGAAGCCACTGACTTATTAATACCCAAAACCAAATCAGCTCTATGCTATTCTCTTTGGTTTCAGGGTCAAATACCGTTGGATTGAAAATCAGTTTTTTGCCAGGGTGGCAGAGCTTGATTACAATCAAAAATTTACCATTCTTTTGACTTTCTCACGTTCTTACGCCCTTCAGTTGTACAGTCGCATTAAAAAAAGCGTACAAGTATATTACGGAGAGAAATTAACGTCATCCTATTCTGCATAAAACGGGCTATCGGGAATGATTGTTCACCAAATGTTGACAGTAAAGTTGTCAAAGGTTCTCGAAAACACGAAGCATTGGCTGAGCCAGTTTTACACAACTAGAACTAGGATCCTGAAATCCTCTCTTTTTAATACTTGTACGCTTTTTTATTGAATACGGCTGTACATAACTGCCAATGGGTTGAGCCTGTCCTGTACACAGAGTTTATAATCTCTGGTATACAATAATAGTGTAGTCTGGGAGCCTCTAGCCTCAAATGACCAATCATCTAAAATATTTAATTCATACAAGGTTCTCAATTTCATAAAACATCTATATTTAAAATAGTTCTTTTCAATTCTGAATCATCAGGTATGTCTATCCTTGCATGTTTTTTTGATATTCTCTGTTAACTTGCAAATATTAATGTGTCAGCTACTTCTATTATTAGATCTAGGAACCTCATTCATGGTTTGTCATTATGAAATAATACTGAATTCCCTTCGATACCTCTCCAATCAACACCACAGACATCAGGAATATTGTGCAATGCTAGTCTTCCTATACTCCTTCGATCTTTCAAACCAAACAAACAACCCGATGAATATAAAAATAACCGCTATCACAATATGAAAACAACCATAGACAAAATATTGATCTCTCGGCCTCAGCGCGAACCCTACACCTTTCGTAACAACAACAGCAGTGAGGATCGTCTGGATGATCAACGCTGCGAACGTATTGACCCCAAACACCAACCCGTAGCTCTCATCTCGGATATACTTCGCCACCTCGCTACAGGTCACTGTCACCATGAAATGGTAGAGAGCCCCGAACGCTACATAGCAAATGTAGCTCGTAACGACCTGCTCGGTTCTCGACGAGTACAGCATGATGAAGCCTTGGAGCAGCGAACATACCGTGAGGCTGAGCTCCCCCTTGACCCGCCAATCGATTTTCATGACGCCCGCCAACATTGCCCCCAGGAACCCGAACAGGGTCAGAACCGCCTCGACAGCGCCGTTGTAAATGGGCGATTCGGGATTATTGACGATGACCGACCAAAGGGGTTGCATGTACGTTTGTACTTGGATGAAACCGCAGGTGGATAGGGCGTACCATAGAGACCACTTGAGGACGTACATGTTGGTGAAGGAGTTTTGGAAGTGGGAGGCCATGAGATTAAATGCGTCATTGAATTTGGATAGGAGTGGTCGCTGGCCGATGCCTTCTTGGTGAAAGTAGATGCTTTTTTTGACGGAAGGAAGGAAGATGCTCCAGATGGTAGCAGCAATCATAGCTGAAAATAACAGATGCTACAATTTTGAGGATCATGTTTAAATAATCACTAATATTCCATGGTTATACCAGATATTTACATGGAGGATAGAAGAACTTAAAATGTATGTGAAAAGATCTTTGGCATTTATAACGGAGATACAGAGTATTAGAAGAATTAACCAGATTGTAGACGTATATTTCAGAAATGATTATATTTTCTGAAATTCGCCATCACATTTTTCTACTGAAACCGAGCTTTCAAGGTGGCATACTATGAAGAAAAAAATCCAGAGGCGGATATTGTGGAATTTATTTTTCATATGTCAAAAAAGTACCTATACATGATGGTAAAATAATTCGAAATGAAATGTTGATTTCGATCGATGATATGGACAGATATAAATGCTCGTAGCTCAGTTCCATACATTGAAATAACCTTTAGTACAAGTTTAGTGTGCCAACTCAAAAATAAATAAAATTTCAATTGGGCCCTAATTTTTCATGTTTCTAAATGATCAATAATAACGCAACCTTAAAAAATATTCAAGAAATCAACATGCATGAACTCAGAATGTGACGACTTTATCAATTTAATGTTCATCTACACATTTATAGGTAGTTAAATTGTGACTTATTATTGTCAATTTCGAACAGTCAGTCACAATTTTGAGAGAGAATGAAAGCTTTTATGTTTGAATGTGAAATATTTGATTATCTGTAACACAGAAGAATAAGTTGAGTTATTTGCCAGGTGAAAATTGATATATTTTTGCTGAGTTGGTCACTGTGCTGAGCAAATAGGAAATAGAAGGGCAGTTGATATGTCAACTTTTTGGATGTCCGGTTCTGGAATTTTTTTGTTCATAGTATGCCATCTTGAAAAGTCTCTATAAAGAAACGTCGCAGGCGAATTTAAGCCGAATACAATGATTCATTCCTGGTAAATATCAGTATTGAGTATCCAAAGTTAAGCTATTTTCACATAACACCATGAATTTCCATTATAAATGGCAACTTTTCACATACTTTCATCAACTTCTCTATCTATGTGGCATATTCCTCATGGATCACCCTGAATAGATGTTCATGTAATGATTGTAAACATAAAATCCTACCAAATCATTCATGAACATGGATCATAAATTAGAACACTGAGTAGTAATAATTCCCAGGCCTAATCGTCTCATTGGTCCTCGCATATTCTACTTCCATTTCCTTAAATTACATTTTTGAAGAGGGGTAATATGATCATAATAAATCACCTAGTAAATCTAGGCTTGTGTGGAATTATTGATATGTTGACATGATCATTGGCAATCGATTATCTTTCCTTTAAATAACTTTGTTGAGGATATACGCTGATATTTAATTGAGATGTCAACAGGATGTCATTATGAGTGAATGGGCCAGTCGCAACGACCATTTTACTTGAAACCACCGCGGTCCGAATCGCACTCAAATTGCTTTGAGCGCGCTATGATTGGTCCGATTATAACGCTTGTAAATATTCACCAGTCATTATGACGTCATGGATTTCATCACTCCTCGCGCTCAGAATGCTTACAGTTCAGAGGTGGAGCGGTCTAAGCGATGCTGTCAATAGTTTCACTACTGTCACTTAAATCTTGAAAAAGTTATGATATAGGTACTGTTGTACTGAATACAGAGACAACTACGAGGCATTAAAATCAATCAATCTCTATATGTATAAAACTGAAGGCGTTACAACTGCTGCAACAGCTCCCTCACCATCAGTACTTAACGAAGAAATATTATTTCGATAACGGTATCGTCATCACTGTGTCAATAATGAGAGCAATATTCACCAGTCTCTCCATTTTTGCATGAACTATGATTTTTGTTGGCCAAGGAATACATTTTGTATGAGGCTCAAAATTCGGTCCAAATCAATAGTCGTCAAACCGTGCAAACTAATTCGGACCAGCAGTGTCTAACACTAGCGCGCTCAAAACAATAAGCTCAATTCTGACCGCGGGAATCATGTAGAGTGAGAGTGTAGACACATCTATTATCTATTGATATTGATTCAAAACATGATTGTGTATTGAGGGTGTAAACCTAGAAAACAAGATTATGATGAGCAGACATTGAAATGGAAAAATCAATTATTGGATGATGAAATCAGTTCCACTACCAACCTCGTTCTCTTTCTGGTCATTCAATTATTATTCCAGTAATTATATTACATACCTGAAAATGTTATATAGTTCAGCTGTCTATAATCCATCAATTTGAAGGATACCAAAAGTTGAGCAGAAATTCCTGATATAGCACGCCCTGCTAAAATGGCAGCTCTGGTATGAGAAGTAACTTGTTGATAATACTCAGTGTCAACTTTGGCATATATATAAGTGTAATAGGCTACCTCAGCACCACTAAAAGTACCATATAACACCTGAAAAAAAAAGGAATCCCCAAAACATTTAAACAAAATAGTCTTCCTGAAGAGTAAGGATATTGGATATATTCAACCTTATGAACTATGTTCCACCTCTGAGGAATAAAAAAATTATATGTGATATACAAGGTGTCCCTGAAAGGTCTGTACAGATTGATGCCACAGACTCCTGACACCAAAGTGAGATTATTGAACCAAACTCACCTCTAAACCAAAACGCTCCGTTTAGCCGCTACCGGGCGTCGGTATAGAATTTTTTCGTATATTTCAATATAGTCTTCAGATATCGTTCTGGAATTTCGTGGGCATACTGAAAGGACTATTATGCATGAGGATCATTCCATATCATTTCGATTGACATACAGGATATTACATATTTGGAGTCCGCCACTGTAGAAATTTTAATATTGTTTTCTATTCTCATTTAATACCAAACTTTCAGCCCTATTGAAAGTTTGTGATATTCTTATTGGTTTGCAAGTTGATTGACCAAATACATCTTGATGCATACCAGATTAGGGCTGTGCGATATTAGATTTCACATATCGATTATCGGAGTTATCGATATATTGATAGTTGTAAAAACTTCACAAACATTTGTCATGGATTTCCATCAAGTAACGGCCGAGTCAATTCAAAATATTGATAGTTATCGATATATTGATATTTCAGAACTTATATATATCGCAATTCCGAAAATATCGATTTTTTATGAATGATAAAAATGCAATCTGCTTTGTTTATTATTCAAATTGCATAATTTGGAAACAATTTCCTCACTGTTCCTAGTTCCTAGTTTTGTTTCAAAACCAAAGACGATTTATTGATATTTCGATTATTAAATGTAAACAAATATTTTTGTAATTTCTCTTCTATTTCTTATTCAAGAAGTTATTTTTTAATCAATTTTTTATGTATCTGCATTTTTCACACTAGCGAGCTAGTTAGATTGAAAAAAAATATTTGTGTTAATCCCGGGTTTACGGGTCTAGAATTTATTTTTGTCTGGGGGTTTCAAAACATAATCCAGATCCATTGAAAATTGGAAACCCTAATGTGCCCCTTGCACTGTTTCTGCATATAGTAATATATAGATGTAGATTTTTTTTTTGAATAGTTAATAATTTTCAGTATACTCAGATAAGATCCTCTCAAAATTTGCTAACTTCAATTTGAACATATTTTTTTCTGGATGCTTGATTGTATCTGAATAACAGGTTATAAAAACATGCAAAATATATGTTCATTATTGGGATATTCAAACTTTACGTACATATAACAAACATTTTATTATAGGTAAGCATATACAGGTTAAATATTTGACATTTAAGTATGTAGATTGAAGGTTTTTCCTTGATTATTCCACTGTAACTAACATAATATCACCATCATATAACTGAATGAGAATTCTTTCATATCAAACTGAAAATTTTTTTTGATACCTACTTGAAGAATCAAGTTGAAAATCTTTGTCAGTAGCCTCTAACTTGAGATCAAACAATATGGAATTGATTGATAAAAAATTATTCACAATCTGAATGATATGGATAAAGGTGACAATATTATCAAAAGTACCCTTTGTAATGAAATAAAAAAATTTAAATTTCATGAAAGCTGAACCTTGAATTTGAGATACTTGGGATACATCTATCAAAATTTGAGTATAATTTGCAAGAGTACCTATATAGTTGTTTCAATAAATCCTAATATCCTAATAATAATAAATAATACACATGAATCAATTTTTAAAGCAAGGTCAAGGTTGTTTCACTCAGTTGATCTTAATTTAGACAATTCCCATTCAAATTGATAGATCTGGATGGAAGTGAAGAAGTTTGATTTTTTTCAAATACATACCCATTTTGATGACTAATCAAAAAAGTATTGATATTTGCTCGGATATTTGATCTCAAAAAGTATAGATCTCAATTTCAACAATAGATGAAATCAATTTATTTTTCTGAACTACCAAGTGAACAATATTATAACTACATTAACTATAACCAATATATTACACAATATAATTGCTTGGATGAGAAAAAGAATAATTTTAAAACTGTTACATCATGAAACATCTTGCAAGATATTTTATATAAAGTTAAGTACTTATAGGTATACACATTTTCAAACTTACCTCAACGACTTGCAATTCTAAAAGACTCTCTGTCCATAATAACAGTGCCCAAATAACAACTCCTGAGGCTCCCAATAAAATTATGAGAGGCTTGTACCTGCACAGATCTGTTATCAAAAAAATTACCACCAAATGTGCCAAATAACTGTAAGTAGCCACAGGATACACTTTTTGGGTAATTTCAACATCCGTGATATTTCTCCATGTCTTATCAATTAAAAATTCATAAACGAAAGGCTCAGAAGGCCTGATTTCTTTAAGAAATCCGAAAATGCTGAGCAGGAGAGACACTACCAACCAGTTGTTCATGGTTTCATGAAATTAATAAAAATTTAGAACACATTCCTTTTGAATTCAAATTCAATTTTGATACGGTGTTATGGAGAGGAAATTAACCTTCGGGATTGAAAACCACATTATTCAACCTCAACTGAATTCCGCATTCGCTATTAGTTTTCAATGATATTATTCATTTGATCATAAATAATATTTAATAGTATTTACGATTAGGAGATTACGTTATCAGTTATTAGTGGTTATCCCGGGTTATCCACACTTTGATCCACACTTGCACACTACAGTACAGTTTCAGACTTCTGACAGTTCTGACTACAGTGAACTAAAATTGGAACCATTTTGCATTTATAAGCTTGACGTTGACGTTTATCGTAAGATGATGTATGTCATCATGTATCGTATGTCATAATATGTCATATGACAAAAGACCCCAGGAACTCAGGAAGTAGGAAGTGAAGTAGAAGAAGAAGAAATTAGTACTTGAATTGAACTCTTGAACAGTTTGAACTCGATATGAAAATGTAAACATTGAACTTAATGGTTTGTAAATTATTGTAATTAGTAATTGAGAATTGAGATTATGCCTCCAAAGAAGACAAATACCAAACCAGCTAAAGGTTCCAAAAGTGATGATTCAGGGGACAAAGGTAATATATTTTTATAATTTGTGAAAAGTTTTTAGTATGCTAGAAGTGGCTAGAACCTCTAGCAGCTCACTTGAATTTCACATTTCATCTTACAGGGGGTAAAGAAAAGAAAGGAGGTACTGCAGTGAAAGTAAGACACATATTATGCGAAAAACAAGGTAAAAGTCTTGAAGCTTTGGAGAAACTGAAAGCAGGCCAAAAATTCCCAGAGGTAGCAGCAGCTTATAGTGAAGATAAGGCAAGATCAGGAGGTGACTTGGGATGGATGACAAGGGGCTCAATGGTGGGGCCTTTCCAAGATGCAGCCTTTGCATTGCCTATTTCTAATGTGAATAATCCTGTGTATACAGACCCTCCTGTAAAGACTAAGTTTGGTTATCATATTATCATGGTAGAAGGTAAAAAATAAAAAATAAAAACTGATTCTTTTTGAATTGTTAAGCATTTTTGAATTACTATCAAAAGGGCTAAATTTACTCATTGCTCTCACTTGTTATATGATATGTAATAGACAATATTGGAGACTACTACAAACATTACCTTTAATAAGTATATTGTATCAAGGCTTCCTATATATTATGTAATAGTGGATGTGGAGAAAATATTGAATGAATATATTATATCTACCTACTGAATTTGAAAGCTTTCAGCAATAGCTTGCTGGAACTTGTTTTAAGAATGCTTTACTGATTCAAAACAAGGCATTTTATAAATAATATGAATGAATCTATGGTGTAGGAGAATATTATAATTTTAGTCAGTTTATAATAATAATGGTAATTGTGCTCTCACAATTTTTGCTCATAATAAAAAATACTTACTCCTCAACAATTGAAGTGAATAGATAGGATGATAGGAATCTTTGTGGATAAATATCATACAATATTCATATAATGTTGAACTATTTTTCTGGTCATGATGATAATGGTGATTGCAAGGGTCATTAGTTTCAATATCCAATATTTTTCCATATGATGGTGCTTCAGAAATGACAAAAATGTAACTTGTCCTTGCAAGATTTTATTTTCTTGTAATAAACAGTAGTCATGTTGGTGACATGATATGTTTCATATTTATTAATTAAATATCTAAGCTAAAACTAGACTAAAATAAATAAATTTATATAGAGTAAAACAAAATATTTTTGGAAATCTATGTGATATGTGATATAGTCATGTAGATGTGGATTATTTGGACTTCATTTTAGTTCACATTTCAATCATTTAGAGAAAATAATTGATGAATATTGATTATGTGTTGTGTTGTCAGTTACATATTTCAGAAGTAATAAACACACTGAAATCATTTTTGGGTCTTGGTTACATGAGACTAGAGCTGGTTGCATTAAAGCTCTCTGTTAACTTAATGAGGAATCAAATCTCCTAACTCATCAGTCTACCAAATGCTTTTTGCAACTGGCTATTAGTGGCAGTTTACAAACAATGATGTAGAACTGCATTTGTGTAAGAATGGATCAATCCCAATACTGCAATGTAAATACCTAGGAGGCAGCGCGGCGACGTCAGCTGCAGTTTATCCAATTGTTTAGTGGAATGCGAAATTCTATGATCTTAGCCGCCACAGAAGCTGCATTATCTGATGAGAGTGTTGAATTTTCAATATAGAATTTTTGGAGGACGTTCTCCGAGCCCGAACGAGCATGAATGGGAATAAAGGAGCACAAACGGAAAAGAAGTCGAGAATTGTTTGAGGTGTAGTAAAGTATTCAAAAACTCACTTTCCGTGGTTCTTAATCTGAAAATGCTCAAAATTCTCAAAAATCTGAAAATACTCAAAATTCCCGATCTACTTTTTAAATAGGTGCCGCGTTGGATTTTTGAACTGACGTTTATCGATATCTTTATCTTGGACAAAGTGAAAATATTATATATGTTTCCTTGCCCTACGTAATGAAGTGTTCATATAAGATACATAGGTGCGTTCCCTCTAGAACAACAATGTTAATGTCTTCCAGTATCATTGGACCCATTACGGATTCGAGATATTTTACACATTTCATTAAATGATTTGCCATTCGTGTGGCATGCCGGCTGTATTCGCACTTAAAAATTTGCGAGAATAATATACGTCTTTTCCATTTCGTTTTCATAAAGAGAGAAATCAACTGCAACGCATTGAATATAATAGTTATTTTTGTATCTATTGTATAGTGCGTGACCCGATCACCAAAGTACCTATGTCGCGCGTTCGTGCTGTAAATTCTTGTTCGTGTTAAAGAACGTTCTATCATGCGCGCACGAATGATCCATCGTGCGCAAACTTTCGCGAATGTTCCCCACAGCACGAAGGTAACGTTCCCTCCCTTTACAAGCTTACGCCCCTTGTTAAATTCGGTATTAATAAATTCTGCAGATTGAGATATCCTTTACAGATACAGTTTAACATCCTTGGAGTCCAAAAGCAGTTAAATTATATGATCCAACTGTTAAACCAGAAAATTGGGGTTGGAAAACCGAACGTATTTCAGCAGATCGTCGTTCTCCTCGCACACCCACGGTTTGACGTGATGACAAGCCACGTCGTGCCAGTTAACGCCGTCATTGTAGAACTGGTTGAGCACCGCGAGACAGTTCTCGGCCGCGCCCCCCTGGACGGCCTCCCTGTTGTCGGGCTGCGGCTGGCCGATGCCGCCGCTCTCGGACCAGTCGTTCTGGTCGCGTTGCGTGGTGGGAGCCAGTTTCTGCAGGACGGCCGTCCAGAACCAGCCGTTTATCTGGACGGGCTGCAGGTCGGGGCGGTCGCAGCCCTTGAAGTCGCAGAGGCGGCCCGAGGTCCAGATGTATTTCACCTGGGGAGAGAATCAGGATTAACCACAGGTTATAGAGTATATAGCCCCTGATCCCAGGCAACCAGATGATGAATGATCACGTCACTGTGACGTCCCCAATTGGTGATTTTTCGTCTGAGACGTCACTATGACTTACTTTCTATAACGTGATAATCACGTCATCGTTCCGACATCGAGTGAACGTCACTTAGATGGGTAAAAGAAGACGTCAGTTTCATGACGTTGCAGGGACGTCTTGTCGACGTCCTTTTTTCCCAGACCTTCTCTAAACTATGGATACTTATATATCATCATGTGAAACAGAAGTATAACTCATGAAAGCAAATCAACATGCAAGTTTTATTGGAATTATTAATATACCCGAAAGTAGGAGAAAACTTTTTTCTAAAAAACTTTGACACACTGTATATCTCGGAAATCAACAAGCTATGTATATATACAAATGATTGTTAATGTATACCTATATTGAAACCGTTACTCTTATGACGTTGCAGTGACGTACCTATGACGTTTAAAAATCACGTCGGTGTGACGTACCAATTTGGTGAGCTTCGTCATTCAGAATTCTTTTCAATAATTTGCTATTTAGATTTTTGTGGGGTGACAAAGAATGCATTCAACAGAGTGAAGCCGAATTCGCCAACATCCTTTCCATTGCTATCAAACTATTCTTTGTTTGCTTACATCTCGCCGACACAAACTACATAATTTTTTATACAAATACGAGTAACTGATTGCATTCTGATGGAGATGCTTACTGAAGGATAGCGCTGCTGAATAGGCGATTGAATGAACATGACACACAGGAGGGACCCACCAAGCAGATACTCAACAATGGATAATCAATATTATATAATGTCATCAGAGGCCAGTGGTGTTTATCACACCATGTTAAAGGACTCTTTTTCACGTATCATCGCCATATTTAATCGTCATTTTGACGTCATTATGACGTCAGTCGGACGTCACAGTTTGGTGAGTGAAGGACGTCAATACGACGGCATTGGGCTGTGACCTATTCACGTCATTATCACTTCATGCGACGTCAACTACTGACGTCACCTAGGTCATTCAAGAGACGTGAAAAAGACGTCACTGGAACGTCATCTCGTTGCCTGGGATAACACGTGGACGTACGGAAAACGTCCACAGGACGTCAATCTGGATTATTTCAGAACGCCACGAGGTCGTGAATTGTCGGTCGATAGACTTCCGAAGTTCTGGGGTCGTCCAATCCCAGTTAACACAGATTGATCCCAGAGATATGAGAGGGCATCACATTATAGCTTTTCTTTACTCACATAAAATTTTAACCAACTGTCAATTTATTGGCTTTCAGAATGTAAAAGGTACAAACGATGCAGTATTCTTCGACTTCTCCAAAGCTTTTGATTGTATGAATCATGAACTTCTTTTGCATAAGTTGGACTGCTATTGCTTTATATAGAGGAATGTGTAATGACTTGTTCAGGTCTTACATAAGTGATAGAAAACAAGTAGTGGAATCGAATGAAAAACTATCACATACTAGTTAATTCTTATGATATGTTCCACAAGGATCAGTTCTGGGCCCGATTCTTTTCCTTATATATCTAAACGACCTGGTTACTCTTTCAATTTAAGGAATTTTCACGATCTTTGCGGATGACAAAACGCTCCTCTGGCATGGAAAAGATACTGATCTTATGAAAGATACTATATCTGCGGACTTGGATGTTGTTAAAAAATGGTGTGACGCAAACTACTCTAACATCAAAAAAACAAACTTACTCACCTTCAACTCTAATATCGACAATTTGTACTTGAATGGGCATTTTATTGAGAATAAAAACTAATCCAAATTCCTGGGAATCTTTATTGATAATGGGTTGAAATTTGACCGACAATGCACGACATTGTCGGTCGATAGACGTCCCGAGGACGTTCTGGGGACGTCCAATCCCAGTTAACACAGATTAATCCCAGAGATATGAGAGGGCATCACATTCATGCCACTCATCACATCTGTGACTCGAAATGAGTCCCACTGAAATCACTGCTATTCCGGACCCTTTTGGTCATTTAAAGATTCACATTATGATGCCAAATGAAACTCACAGTACGTTTTTAGCGACTCTTCATTCAACATCGAAATTGATTGATTTCATTTGTTACATAAATAGACAAAAATGTGGGGTTCCAGTGAGTCTCTTGGTTGTTAGGGAGCCCCACAAATTCACCTACACTTCAAGTCTCATATCCAATGAAATGTGACGAATATTGCGACTGTTTTGTAAAATAAACAGTGTCCTGGCAATACCAATGATATTTTCTTCGCAATGTTACCTAGCGAGACATGAATGTGACATCTCAGGGATGTTTGTTATATGTTTGTCCATGTTAAAAGGATTTCGTGGAAAATAGCGAATTACTATCAGCCCCAACAAATGCTTCCACGACAGTATCTTTTTCTAATAATGACTTCGAAAAAAGGAAAAAACTAGGTGGAGGACGAAAGAATTCGAACCCGAAACCTTTGGCATATCAAGCACTTCAAATTCGTTAATTTTTTTGTCTTTCAACTCATACATAGACAATTTTGTACAGAACAAACAACTGGATAAAAGTGTATAATATAAAATAATACTCCGCGCAGTGCAAAGTTGGCTGGTGGTATAGCCAGGAGGGTGATTAGAGTCCTGACAAAATGCATCCCACCTCCTGAAACCAGGATCCTTATGACAGGAAATCTCTTAATAGATGTATCCAGTTGGACTAGGGTTGAATAGAGGCATTGGCATTTCCGGAAATCATCGGGTTTTATAATAATATATAATAATTATTAGATAATCAGATAGATATACATATATTTTATTATGATTATGAAATACCGAGTTAAATACCTACCATCTTTTTAACTATGAATAATTATTAATCTTATCAATTCTTTGCACTCATCAGATAATCACATAACCTTCATCATAATTGATAATGCTGTGAGAAGAAAATATATTCTGATGATAATCTAAAATGTAACATTTGAGTATTCATGTGAGATTGAGTGAATTGGAATATCCCAAATGCACTGTTTTCGGAAAAACTTATACTATGATATTATATAATATGATATTATAAATTTTTCGAAACTATGAATAATTTATGTGACGTAATTTTATGTTGAAATCATAATTAGCGTGCAATACTTCACCAGCAGATTTTACGATCAAAAATAAGAAAACTGAAAAAGTGTTTCTATGAACATATAGGTCTAAAGGTGGTACCCTGAAGATGGTTTTCATTTAAAATCTTAGAAACTGTTGATAGCAGAATTATGAAATTTTGGAAGTCGGCCAATCTTTTTATGTCTAACAATATGCGATAATAATATAATTTCTAATTTTCATCCAGAAATTTGTCACATTGCAGGGGGGTGGGGGGTAAAATCACCCAACTTTTTAATTGCGGTTGTTTTACAACTTTAGCATGATATTATAAAACTCTAAAGCCTTTTGCATGAAAAGGTTTTCCTTGTTCAACTTCGTGCTTCATGGTCTACGCTAAAACTATTAATTTTTGTTTTCATTATGAATTTTTACTCGATTTTTTATGTCGTGAAGTAATTTTGAAATCGATTCTACTAGAGAACGGTGCTTCCTACCGAAGTAGAACAGGAAGACCAATCTTATGCAGAATTTAAAGTTTCATAATTTGTTGCTAAAATTGCGAAAAAACCGCACCAGATAAAGTTGGGGTGAATTTACCTTCCACACCCACCCTCCGTGTGACCCATTTCTGGGTGAAATTTTGACATTATTATTATTATCGCATATTATAGAACATGAGAAGATCGGTCGACTTGCAGAATTAATTAATTCAGCTATCAACAGTTTCGGAGATATAAAATAAAAATCATCGTCAGGGTATCACATTTCGGGGGCTGTAACTCGCTTATGAAACATTATTCGACCTATGTTTATGTTAACTTTTTTTCATATTTTTGATCGTAAAATCTGCTGGTGAAGTATTCTAAATGCATTATTAGTGCATGCTTTTTCTAAAACTCTTTCTCACATACTTTTCAACAGGTCGCCTCTAAAATATCGAAAATTTGCTGCCGTAGTTCTTCTATGGAGGCAATAAAGCCGTTTTTGTAAACGATGTTTTTTATGGCACCCCAGAAAAAAATCGAGTGGTGGTTTTAGAAAAAGCGAATGATTGCTCAAATGCAAACGGAAATATTTTTGAGCATTTACTATGAAGGAAATCTCAATGTTCGGATTCTTTTTCATATTGGATATTATTTGTTTGATTAAATTGTGTTTTCATCATTCATGAATATTATTCCCTTAAATAATAAATAAAGTTGATGATTGCGCTCGAAGAAGAAACGTCGGATTTCCAATTTGACAATTCCATTTTGTAGAGGAGAAAAAGTGACTGATTTTTTTCGATTTCAAAGCAGCATTTTGTTGGGCATGAAATGGTGCAACTTTGCCCTGATTTAACCTACTCTGTATCATTTAAGGTTACCGAGATTTCCATGCTAATACCACGAATTTATAACACCCTGTATAGGGGAGGGCTTTTTCAAAAGCTTTTATTTATCTTGCAATGTATGGATGTATATATGTGTATGTATGTTAGTTCGGGTGGAATCTTTTAATTCAATTTTGAAGTAGATATCTTCAACCGATTGAGCTGAAATTTTGTATACACATTTAGTTTGAATGACAATGCACGATAAGGTGTGTGAAGTTATTCTAAATCAAATATGGCGGACCATCCAAGATGGCGGAATAGTTATTTTTAATCTGATACTTTTACAATATGGGTATCAAATGAAACGGCTCGTTGAGACTAACTCGGAAAATAATGTAACGTTATTCTAAATCCGATATGGCGGAACTTCCAAGATGGCGGAATAGTTATTATTATTCATACATTTCTGCAATATGGGTATCAAATGAAAGGGCTTGCCGAGAATAATTAGAAATAATGTAACATCACTCAAAATCCAATATGGCACATTAAGTCTGTGCAATTTCCAGCAAAATATAGTCACGGAACTGCGGAACGAAGAATGCTGCCAATTGTATTATGTTGGGCTTGTACAATAATGTACATGCAGTACACAAAATGCAACGCAGTACTGTCGACTACTCCGTTATTGACTTAGGCTCGAAGCTCTTCGCTGCTGGTCAAGCATACGTGGCTTTAAATAGGGTAAAATCATCTGAAGGTTTCCTTATTGAAGAGCTGGACTTCTCGAAATTAACCGGCAAACGAAGGTAAAAAAAAATTAATTGAACGCGCTTTTACATACAACGGTCTGAAGAGATTGAAATGAAATATTCCTTTATAATTTTAAGTATATCAACTTATAACCTCATTATACATTATTTATATGATCATAAAAGCTTGTCGCGATGATCGATATTTAATTGAATTGAAATTTTAAAAATTTGAACTCAGCAGATTTTACAATATTAAATTAGTACTACTAGAAGTAGTTTATTCACATCAAGTAAATAGCGCGACAAGCTTCTATGATCATATTAATTGTGTATAATGAGGTATTATAAGTTGATAGATAAAATTGTAAAGAATAGTTATTTTTGTATCTAGAGCGCGAAATGCTACTTTGGTGATCGAGATCTGATTTTTTTAACGAGGCGTAGCCGAGTTAAAAAAATAGTCGAGATGACCAAAGTATTTCGCGCTCGAGTTGCAAACAACATTTTTTCTACAAACGTCAGAAAATATAGTTCTAAAGAAAAAATATGCTTAGCTTGATATAAAAATTAGTGTTGAACTGGCTTAAAGGTCTCGAAATGATATTAAAGAGCCAATATCAGTGCAATATTGCTGGACAATGAAATACAATATTCACTAACCAACATAAATCGGATATTGATGCAATATTTTTTTCCAAGATTGATTTGATATTGGAAATACAATATCAGCCCATCATGAAAATTGACATATTGTAATCGTTAATATTTCACCAATATCAAATAGATATTGGCAAATTGATATCCGCTGGTCACAAAATTCATCCCAACATTCGCACTGGATTGATGATCGAATATTGAAATGAAAAATTGGTATGATATAGTGGGACAATCTAGTTATTCCATATTCAATATTCGAATATTGGGCTAATGTGAAACCAAGTTCTAGCCAATATGATGTTCTACCTGGGCTCCCCTATATTCTCTCTAGGTACGCACGATGTTCCACGAACATAATAGGACTTTCCTTTCGAGCGCTCCAAGAGATAAAACAAAGTTATTGTTGAACATTCAGAAATTAATGATTTCGTGGATGTTTGCTCGATTGAGGACCATGAAGTTGAAATATGAATATCTCATATATTTTGCATAACAATGCGCGAAGTAGGTACTTCGCGCACTGTTTTACTTCGCGCATTGTTTTGTGCAAGATATCATGGTAACGTAGGAAACTGAAAAAAAGTGTCACTTCGCAATTTGTTATCAATACGCGAACCTTGTCATTTTTTGACGTTTGTAGAAAAACATATTTTATTCTCTTTAGAGCGTTTAAATGAAAGCTTTTTATTACATTTTTTTTCAACTTCAATTGATAATCTTCTGATTGTTACTTACGATTTGTTAGAAGAGTAAAAAGTAGAGAAATGAAATTTTGCGAGACTTATCCATTCGCGAATGTTATTTAAAGAAAAACACATCTTGCTCATATAAAGTACGAGCTAAATTACACTATTAAAGAGAAACTGCGGGAAATCTTTGACACTTTCTAAACTATACCTAGGTACCCATGCGGCATACAGCAAAATACCTAGGCATTTCGAGAAATTAGTATGCTGAAGCATGTACCAGCACTACCAGCAACCTCGCTCTTGAAGAAAAGACCTTAAGACACGTGACAATGTGAGAATATAAATTCCATACACGACGATAATGTTGATAAAATCATTGACCCAAAATCAATTACTCAATGTAATGTGAAAACAATTACTGGCATATCCTTAAATGGATATGAGGGTATGCAAAAATTATTACGATGCCACACGTACGTGCCTATTGCATAATATTGTAATAAAATATGGCAGATTACGATGCATAGAAAATAGATGAACCGCAATTCATACAATGAATTATAACTATTGATTAATAATCAGCAGGAACTATTTAACCTTGGAATTATGTGGGTGTCACTAAACAATTTATTGATGGATGACAATATTCTGAAAAGAATTAATCAATACAGATGAGGTCATTTCTGCAGGGCCATTGAAACTTTATTACTTCCGCTTTCACCAGTGACTACACTTTTTGATATTAAAATTGAAAATTTCTAGCTTTGTAGTAGGTAGTCATTGAGAAAGCATAGTCTTCTACTCGCGGCTCGCGTTGAAATAATCCCTTTTCTAGGTGAGTTATGGAAATTTGATATACCTTCGTATAAAAATATTACGTGGTTGTTGAATTTTCATATTATAAATAAGGAAATATATATGGCATTATTTCGTCGGTGATTATAAAAAAACTCCTTATAATCTCTAACATTGATTTTTCCATTGAAATTCTCATTGTCTCTGTCATAAAAAAAAGCCGAAAGCTAAAATAAAGAAACATTTATTATTTAGAAACTTAACAAAATTACTTTCCCGTACTGTTTTTCAAAACTAAAATGAGTGCGGAGAAGTAGACTTTTCCGCACCCTATTTGAAAAAGCAATTTTTGGCCCTTATAACTTTCTTTTTAACTAATTGAAACTGACGAAATTCCTTTAGTGATATAATATATGCTCATTAATCTTTATCGATTTCACAAATCCCTTAAAAAAAGTCGAAAAAAGTATTCCACCCTAAATTTGATTCTACCCCAAATTTTGATATAATTTCTATATATGATTGATAAGACCATTCAATACGTTTAGGAATTCTGATATTTTGTCATTGAAGCATATAGTTCACTCAATTATATTATTTGTAATTTCAGTATTTCTTGAAATGAGTATACTGGGTGTTTGGTTCACCGACGTATATCTAGGAGGTATAGGTAAGAAAATTTCGAATATATTCAACCATATATGTACTATTATACAATGTGTTTCGAGATATCGTTTTGTCAAACAATATTATCTGATTGTATCTTGTTCTTGAAAAGTTGAATACGTATTTCATAGATGATGAACACGGAAAGGGATATAAATGTGATATAGCTCGTTAAAATTGAAAAAACAGGTTTTCTGTAACATTCAAATATTTCAAATTCATGTCAGGAGACATTTCTCGAAAAGTGTAACACTTGGTGTAATATATCCTTCCATATATACGTTGGTGAACCATCAGACACCCTGTATAATCAACAAACATATTATGGCGTTTGAATTATCTAATATTCAACTAACAATTAAACTAAAGTTAATCAGTTTTTCGATTTCTATTTCAACAAAAAACGCCAGTTTCAGTATAGTCACTTTCGCTACTAAATATAATTAACCTGATCAAATCAATAATTGAATGAATCACTTATTTTTCTAATTATCCTGGTAGTCTATATAGGTTATGCTGATTAGGAATTTATAGTAACTAATTATTGTAATTCATAATAGGAGAAAACATATGTGCATCTTGGAATTTCCAGAAAATCAATTGGATGATTTTTCATGACATGTTCCATTAATATATTCTGTTTCAAGATAACTAATAAAAAATTTGAGGCTGGGAACCTTGCACACGAATCATTTTCAAATTTTTTTAGTTATATTTCGCAAATTCAGACAAATACATTTATTTTTTTCCACCACTAGATTTAGAACCTACCATTATTTACTCTTTCTAAAGGCGTAAAGTGTGCTTTCAATACCAAGGTAGTTTTCGTCATTTTAGGAACCACTAGTCAACAAGAATGGCAATCGAATCTAGTATGTATCTATCTAACTACTTGTCATTATATGCTGTCATGGTAACTAGAACTAGATTTTAATTAGAATTGAAAAGAGGTGCTTTCATTGTGACATAGTTCCACATTTTAGTTTCACAGAACTATAATGATTGAAATATATTGCTAGTGGTGAAAAAACTTTGATATACGCACCTTGGTAGTAAAGAATAATATTACCACGGGACCTCAGCTGAAGCCTAGGGATATAATCTTGGTCCCTGGGTGATATAATGATATTCTTTACTAACCTTGGTGTATAAATAAATATTCACCAACCTTCTCATCGACAATTCGCCTTTTGATCCATTCGTTTTCAGCACTAGTTTCCAGAGATACCAGATCCATGCAACGTTTCCTGCAGAAATTTCTTGCACTCAACCAGTCTAGTTCTACGCCTTTCGTATTAGGGTCTCTCCAACTAAGGAAGTATCCTTTACCTATGGAAATATGAAAAAAATCCTAATCAAAATAGGTACCTAGAAACGGGTATATAGTATAATGTTTTCCTGCTTTTCAATATTATACTATTGCGAAATTGTTATAGATACAACCTTGATAAAACCTTCTAGAAGATTTAAGGACGTGTTTGAACATGTTTACATAATGTGTTTACTCGATTTGAACTTTTGACATAATCGCATATACAGCTTACCATCTGGCGTTCTTTCATGAATGGTTCTCTGAGCACATAGGGCTGGTGTTGGAGGTTCAAGAACCCTACCACCGTTTTGGGCTGTGCTGATTCCCACTAAGACTGCGAAAATGAGAATTTTCATGGTTGTTCTGCAAAGAAGAATTGCTATTAGGCCATTTTGAAATATGTATACACCCACACACACCCTCGAAGCTGTTGAAAGGTCAGAATGATATATACATACATATATTGGCTTTAAATTCTTGTTTTCGTGAAAGCTTTCTAATAAATAATATTTTCATTCATCGTGATTTTGTTTAATCTATGTCGTGATATATCTTCTGTCTTGCATTGAGTTCATTGATGAATATTGGAATTAACGATTTGTTGCCACACAGAGCGAGATAGTTATACAAGTTGACTGATATGAAACGCCCCAAACCAAAGGCCGCTATTAATTATCCGATTTTGAAAAACAAAAAGGTAACACTAACTAGATATTATGTAACAAACTTGACAAACCTGAAGAAGCTACTATGTTAGCCTCGTGATAGTGAAACATTAAGACTTTTATGGAAATATAATCGTTTACATTTACTATGGATTTCCATCAATGAGTAACGGCCCAGTCAATTAAAACAAAAAATTAGATACCTACTACGAGTAGTCTTTGATCATTTTTTTTTCAAATTTCAACTGTAACGTCAGTGACTGCCCACTTATTTCTTCAAATTTCACCATATAGGTTTTTTTTTCAATTTTTCTAGTCGAGATTTTTCCCTGAATGAAGTATATCGTTGAATGGGGGGAATGAATTGGTGATTCTGAGAGGAGAAAGAATGAATAACGGTGAGAGGTATATAGAGATTTGTGTGTGAGAGATATCGTATGATCCCTTACGCCGCAAATATCTCGTTGATGACAATGCGAGACCACATATAGGGCTCGTATTGTCAACGAGTGTTTGGGGGATCAATAAGGTATTGAGCGGTTGGTCTCCTGACATGAATCCGATAGAGCATATCTGAAGAAAGAAAGAGGAGGCGAATGGAAAATTTGGATGACTTGCTGAATGCGGTACAGCAAGAATGGGCAGCAATTCCTCAGGAATTCATTGATAGTCTAATAGACAGCATGCCTATAATAGGGTCGCGATGAAGTGACTGCTCAAATGAGAGGACCCTCTGAATACTCAATTTCATCATTTTATATTGTTATCCACGTTATTCCTTTCTTATTGTTGTTGTTCGATAAAAATTCAATGGAACATATTGTTCTTGTTCTTGCTTGCTGACACGATCAATGTTCAGGAATGAGCCTCAGCTGGTCATCGGGCTTGTCAGTCACTTATCGTTATCCTGGTTACTTTGTTTACGTGTCATGCATTCTAATCGAACAATGGGCTGATTATTTTTCAAAAACATGTCGTTTCAATTGGTTTTCTTTATGCACAATCATTGAGTATTAAAAGCAAGAAATATCTGGACGCTTCCCTTCCGAAAACAAGTTAATTTTCATTTAATTATCCTCCCATCCGGGATTCCGAGGGTGTTCCAGATTTGGGTCACCATTAAGAGAACTCTTGATCTTCAATATTCATCTTGACTCAATTTCGATCTCTATATCCCTCCATCAGAAGTTTTTGCTTCAAAATGAGCCTGTGATTTTAATAATCGATTGACGAGGAAAAAAGTTATGATTGCAAAACCAAAAAGTTAACTTCGTGAGATCACTCTGTCAAAGTTGAAGAAAAAATGTTTTTCTCCATGGGTTTCTTCTGAAAATTCCTAAATTTTGCACAGTTTCAGGTAACACCCTGTAACGGTTTTATGTGAAGAGCCTCATGTTTCAAAAGAATACGAGATTATAGTTGAAGGACTATATATAGGCTAGTGAACAGTGTGATCTGAACTCAAATTGTTCGAAGCAGAAAAAAGTTATTCATATTGGAACAAGGACAAAATTATGGGGTGCAACGAGATTAGTGTTGCGTAGTTTATTTTCAGGTTGATTTTCAGTAACGATGCCGTGGTAGAAATTTGTATTCAGATTCTTATTTGAGCACATAAGAATAAAAATGGATGAAACAATTCTCAAAGTTCGATTTTTTTAAGGGCTTCAGTTTATGTTAGATACATACCATATACTGATATTTTGATACTGACAAAAATCGTCCCAAGACATTTCGCCGCCGTTATTATCATTGCCGATTTTGAGGAAAAAAAAGCAATTGAAATGATTTCAAAATATGCTACGAGGAATCACTAATAATTTTTCTCTAATTTTAATTCGACCGTGAGCAACTGGTATCTTTTTTCGAGATGATAACCATTATTATTGTCAATTGTTTCATAGAACTTTTTTGACGTTTGGATAAAATTATTTCGGATGAATAATCGATTATTAATTTTAATTAATATTTCAATTATTTATTATTTTTTATCAATTATTTTTCAATAAATTCCAATATTTCAGTCAATCACTCAGAATGGGCGTGTACACCTTAGTAGGATTTTCAACTCAAACCATATTTATAATGATCCTTTTATACATAAATAATGATTGACGACATAATTCGATCGAAAAATTTACTGGACTGTTTTATTTTTGGACATAAATAATAGTACCTTCTGAAAACGGACCCTTTTATGACGTAGAAACCTCATCTCACCATTGTTAAAAGAAAATACCAAACGCCCAACGGAGACTGAGGCAACTGATATATTAATTCTTTCAACTGTGATCTCGCGCTAATTCACTCTGTCAGAAATCATGTATCATTCATCTCTGTCTGGAATAGTCTTGTTCCAGTATTAGGGTTTTGACGTCACATCATCGCCTCGTTTTCAGAGGTCCGAAAAATCGGGATTTCAATAATTTTTTATAAAACGTAGGGAGCTCACAGCAATAAAGGGTTTGCGGTGGGAGCTCGGGTGGGAGCTAGTTTGGGCGAGTTCAATCGACTTATGAAATAATTTTTATTTGTGATATATGCCCATTAATTCAGGAAAAATATATGTTACCATGATGGAAAAATTTGAAAGTCGCTGGTATTCGAATTGAGATCAGAAGAAACATTTTGGTGCCTCCTCGTAGTAGTATTATTTATAGTATTTGGGAAATTTCATCTGGTTTTTTATCTATCAAATTCGGAATATAATGAATTGCGTCTCTATATTATGACATCATAGAGCCAATTCGTCAGTCAGCCTGTATTGAATTGTATGAAAAAGAAAATTTCATTCCATGAATGAAATAAATTATTTGTCTTGTTTAAGATTATTAATTTATTAAAAAAGAACAAAAAATCGAATTAGTGGGAAATTTCAGGAATAATTGGGTGATGTAAATTCGCGATATAATTAATAGAATTTGAATAACCACGAGAGGGTAATGCAAATGGTTTCCATCTAGAATCCCACACACTGTATATAAAACCAGAACTTTTCAGTTGTTGCATACTCACTTCAAACAACTACACAATATTCAAAATATACACCCCTGAACGGACCAAATCGCAAGCAAACTTCGTCAACACACTGCCAAGAGGACGAGCGATCCTCTGTATATATAATGTATGTAGGTGGGGCATGATAGAGTCATGGAGATGCGGTTATAGTTATTGTATTGCCGCTGAACTGAAGACGACATCCAAACACCAAGAGGAGGTGCACCACACGTATATGCGTGTGTTTTTCACCTTGACCTTCTTGGGGCTGAAGAGTGAAGATTCCCAAGTGCGATGATAACCCAGGAGAAAGCAGTGCACTCAGTGGCGTATACAGATTGGCCTATCAAATATGTACCGCAAGACATCACAGACTGGCAAAAGCTTTTCGACAAATTCCAAAAATGCGTCAAATTTGTTTTTTGTTGGGTGTGTATAATTTGCGGACTGGAGTAAAATGCTGCGGACTGGCTATTTCCAGGAAGCAAATCGTTGTTTTTATTGCATATCTGGAATCTGGATTCAGCTCATCGAACAACACGAAAAAATTCTGAATTTCTTCACTGACTTCCTGGGGAGATTTTTACTCGTGTGTTTTTTCATAAAATCTTGCGGACTGGGTATTATTGCAAGTCAAATCAACTCAATTTTATCAAAAATCAATTTATCTCATGAAAATAAACGATGGAGAGTTTTTGAAATTTTTCCCTAGCCCCCTGTGGAGCACTTTACTCGTGTGTTTTTTCATAAAATCTTGCGGGTTGGGTATTTTTACCAGTCAAATACACTCAATTTTAATAAAAATCGATTTATCTCATGAAAATTCACGATGAAAAGTTTTTGAAATTTTTCCCTAGCCCCCCTGGGGAGCACTTTACTCGTGTGTTTTTTCATAAAATCTTGCAGGCTGGTTATTTTCGCGAGACAAATCAACTCAATTTGATCAAAAATCAATTTATCTCATGAAAACACACGATGAAGAGTTTTTGAAATTTTTCCTTCGCCCCCCTGGGGGGCACTTGACTCGTGTGTTTTTTCAAAAAATCTTGCGGACTGGGTATCTTCACCAGTCAAATCATCTCAATTTTCTCAAAAATCGATTTTTCTCATGAAAATACAGGTTGAAAAGTTTTTTAAAATTTTTCTCTATCCCCCATGTAGAGCTATTCTTAACATTTTCAAGAGAAGCAGTAATTATAATAAGTATGCATGTACAAACTTTCATTATTTTTTCACAAAGGGTTTCGAAAATATTTACAAAAAATTCTCATAAAAGCCCAAATGGGCCATTTCTGGACCCGTGTTTATACAGGGTTATTCACGTTATTCGACACGAAGCATTGTGGCTAAAGCATTTGATTTTTTGAATGTTTGTTTCTTCGGATGAATAGTGACCTATTAGCGCTATATTTAAAAAATATTTTCATGTTGTACAGGGTGTGCCAAAAACACGAAATGTATCAAAGTTACTATTTTTCAAAAGGAATGCCTCGCATATTATTGTATATTCAGATTCTTCCTGAACAGCTGATTTCATCAATGTATCACACTTGGGGTCTAGCGGGAATGATTACAGAGATATAGGGTGATCAAAATCGAGCGAAACTATTCATTATCGGTCAGAACGGCTCACATGTCCATATCTCAACTTTTGTTCGATACGATACGATACGATAGCTGGGACATGAAAGCCG